TTGTGAAAAATGTCCAAGTATATTTAGTTATATTCCACCTGAGGCCTCATTATCATTGAGCTATTATCAGTCTCGGAATTCAATATTAGAAGCATAAGAACATTCATTATCGTTGATGTCAGCATTTGCTGAATATAGTACGGGAACTAAGAAAGGGAGCATATCTGGAATCAGAACTGTTGGAAGAAAAATCCATTTGGTTCAGTTCTAAGCAGGGTGGATAAAAATCAATGATTTTTTTAAAAAAATCCAAAAAATCAGATTTTTTTGATTTAAATCGGATTTTTTTTTTATTTTTATCGAATTTATTTTAATAAAAAACTTGGGGTAAAATCTATCGTAAGATAGTTTTCTATTTAAGATACATAAATAATTTAGTTTATTCAGCATGAAATGGAGCTTAGTTATGTAGCATGAGGCTGTATGTTCTGCAACACTGGGACTATCGGTGAGTCAACTGGGTCAAAGGAGTAGCAGAGATGAAAGTTGCTCTTTAAAAATTATGATTTAAATCGAGTTGATTTAAATCAAGCCTTTTTACTAGTGATTTAAATCATGATTTAAATCAACTCGATTTAAATCAAATCCACCCTGGTTCTAAGCCTGGAGAAAGGCACTGGAAATAAAATGGAGGCTAGCTGGCTTAGGAAAGAAGGTCCATTTATTGATGAGTAGAACCAGCATGTGGTTCTGGGACAGCTGACAAAATGGCTGAATGAGTGGATGGATCTTTACAGGTTTCTGGGGATTTGTGTTCGAAATGCTTCAGGGTGTTGTGTAATTGTAGTGAGTCTGGTATCTATGCTATTATATTATGCTATTCTAATGGGGTTGGGTTAATCCAATTATGTCTTAAAAATCATATCCTGTCCTTAACCCCGTCACCCTGGCACTGAAGATATTTTGTTTATTAAGAGATTGGCCCGGATTTCTTAATGGGCATAATATCTCCACCTCTAAAGATTTCAGGCATCTACTGGGGGCTGTGTTACTATGCAGGAAACTGAGGCTGCTTTCTGCCTTTAAGAGCATGTTTCTCCATTTCTCCTTTGGGGAAATATAATACAGTATTCTGCCACTTTTAATATTCCCCAAAATATTTCATTCTCTAGTTTGGGGGGGTTTACTATTTACAGAACTGTTAGATCAACACTGAATATGATATCCCTGCAGAAGTTAAAACTGGAAAAAGAAAAATCGAAAGATTTCATATTGGATTTTTTTTAAAAAAAAAAAAATGAGAAGCAGGATTCGTGAACTCAAGAGTTTGTGTTTGGGAGCAGCTACCAAGGGACTTCCGGGTTGAAAGGATTAATCGGTGACGTCACTGCAACAGTGATGCCTGAGAGGAACCAAGATGGTACCTATTTATCTGCTTGCATTTGCTTTCAAACTGCTAGGTGGGATGGAACTAGAGTGATGGGAACTCTAGTTTCAAACTGCCGACTTCAATGTCTTGTGACCCAGCATTCTAACCATATTGTGTTACTCAGGAAATTGGGTTAATTGAGTAAAAACCATGATGTAAGTGTGCTTCTAATCAATGAGAATTGGTTGGGATATGCAAGTAGAGAGGATGGATTGATTTTAATTCTGCCCAGTTATAGTATATTTTGTTGTTGTTAGTTGCGAAGTCGTGTCCAACCCATCGCGACCCCATGGAGAACGTTCCTTCAGGCCTTCCTGTCCTCTACCATCCAGTTATAGTATAAAAAGGTAAAGGTTCCCCTCACACATATGTGCTAGTCGTTCCTGACTCTAGGGGGAGTGGCTCATCTCCGTTTCAAAGCCAAAGAGCCAGCGCTGTCCAAAGACGTCTCCGTGGTCATGTGGCCGGCATGACTAAATGCCAAAGGTGCACGGAACGCTGTTACCTTCCCACCAAAGGTGGTCCCTATTTTTCTACTTGAATTTTTTACGTGCTTTCGAACTGCTAGGTTGGCAGAAGCTGGGACAAGTAACGGGAACTCCTATATAGTATATATGAAGGATACTTCCTATAGTATAGGAGGTATTATAGAGATACTTTATACAAATGGATCTCACAACCACATATTTATAGGAGAGTCATCTTTGGGATTGCCTTCATGTAGCCTTGGCAACCGTAATTTAACAAGACTGGGGAGCTTGAGGTTACACAAGATTTTTGTTTTCTTGTGTATGCTTTGCTTTGTGAAAATGTTTTTAATTCCAGGTTGTCTTTTTTTGGTAACTAGAGTAAGGCTTTTTAGAAGCTATTCACAGAAAACGAGTCTTGATATGGAAAGTACTGGCAATGTGTAGCTTGGTTTCCTTTGTTACTCAAGTGGCGGTGTGAGGTTAGGTTGCCCTTGTGAGTGCATGAAATTATACTGATTTTTCTTATGGCCAAAAGGGACAGGCTGTTCGGTTGAGTTATATTAAGAGTAAAATATAAAATTAAGAATAATTTGGTTTACAGCTCAGTGATCAAGCAGATCCTTTCACAACTGTGTGCTCTCCAGTTAGGTTCTCTTCAGCTCCCAGAAGCACCTGAGGGCTCTGTTGATTTACAACAGTTCCTTTAGTAACCAAAGTTACAACGGCACTGGAAAAAAGTGACTTGTGGCCCTTTTACACACTTATGACCATGGCACCATCCCCGTGGTCAATGTAATTTACATTTGGATGCTTGACCACTGGTTCGTATTTATGACGGTTGCAGTATCATGGGATCACCTTTTGCAACCTTCTGACAAGCAAAGTCAGTGGGGAAGCCAGATTCACTTAACAACGGTGTTACTAATATAACAACTGCAGTAATTCACTTAACAACTGTAACGAGAAAGATTGTAAAGTGGGCCAAACTCACTTAACAACCGTCTCACTTAGCAACATAAATTTTGGTCTCAATTGTGGTTGTAAGTCGAGGACTACCTTTATTGCAAAGTTGGCTGATAAAGAAATTAAGGAATTCGGGAAGATTCCTAATTTTTTTTTATCTGTTGTCGGGCAGATTGAGAATAAGATAATAATGACACCAATAACTATAATTGTGGGTCACAAAAATACAGATAGTTCTCGACTTATGAGCACAGTGGAGTCCAAAATTTATGTTGCTAAGCAAGACAGATGAGTTATGCTCCATTTTACGAACTTTCTTGCCACAGTTCTTAAGTGAATCCTTGCGGTGGTTAGTAACAGGGTTGTTGAGTCAATCTGATTTCCTCACTGACTTTGCTTGTCAGAAGGATACAAAATGGCTGGCTGGGGAATTCTGGGAATTGAAGTCCGCACATCTTAAAAGTTGCCAATCTGGAGAAACAGTGATGTAAAGGCTCTGGCATACTATATAGCAGTGTTGGCAAACCTTTTCGGCACCAAGTGCCGAAACGGGAGCGCATGAGTGTGCAGGGGGGAAACCGGAAGAGCAGTTCCCGGGCATGCGCATGCTTGTGGCAGGAAGCTGAGCTTCTGGTGCCCAGTGTGCGTATGCATGCCAGTCACCTGGTCTTCCAGTTTCTACCGTGCACACCGGAAACCAGAAGCTCAGCTTCCTGGCATGTGCATGCATGCCAGGGAGCTGCTCTTCCAGTTTCCTGCACTCCTGCGCGTGCGAAGACCAGCTGGCCGGCACGCATGTGTACGCCTGAACCTGGAAGAGCAACGGGTGACAGCTGGCGTGCCCGAAGATATGGCTCTGCATGCCACTTCCGACACATGTGCCATAGGTTTGCCAGCACGGATATATAGTATTGTAAAATTGAAATCTGTTAGGAAGGGTGAGTGAGTTTGTTCGGTGTCTGACATTTTGGTACTACTTTTGATTTACTACAGGTGACCAAACGAATAGCTTTGAACCAAGTCAGTTCCCAGCGTATTAGAAACTTAGCACTCCCTGACCTGTAGAGTTCAAACTATGAACTTTTAACCAGAACGCAAACTTAATGAAACGGGTCGCTTACCTCAAATCCCTCTTAACCCAAGTTGGCCGGTGCTTCACATGAGCCGGTTAAGGGCCGGGGGTCAAAATGATGGGGAAACCTACGGCTGGGGTTACTTTTCTTTGCCACCGTGACTTCGGTATACACTAACCCCAACATGGCAGTGGGCACGGCCTTCCTTTCCAACTCGGCTGGTTGTTTTTTTTGTTTTGTCTTTTTCTTCTTCCTGTCCTGTCGAAATGTTCTTCTGGTTCCATCCTGCAACCGCTGGAAACTCATGCCTTTGCTTCTCCCCCAGCCGTTTCAGGACCTGCCTCAGAAACATCTCTGCTTTGTGTAGCCTAAGTGTCCCTCACGCCAGCCCTACAGGCAAGCTTCTCAATGTGATACTACGTTTTGCATTCCGCCTCCTGGGAATGTTCAGGCCCTGTCAGAGCATTTCACGCGCATGGCTCCTTGTCTCTCTTTTCGCAGTGCCCAGTCCTGTCTGATGAATGCCTCTTGCCTCGTTTCATTTTATTTTATTTTCAGTTGTTTAAAAGTCCAAATAAAAGTTGCCCCCTTGAGTTTCCCCTGGCACTCAGTCTGCACAAGTAAAACAGATTTCATCGCTCATGGGCTGCATGCAAAACGTTGGCTTCTCTCTACGTGCAAAATTTTGACGTTTGGAATGGGGTAAGTGATGTCCTTAATTTAATCTCTACCAGGGGTCAGCAACCTGCGGCTCTGGAGCCGCATGTGTCTCTTTCACACACCTGCTGCGGCTCCCTGTCAGTCAAAATATGCGTCACAACCGCCAATGTGCGACACCCGCCGGCATGAGCTTTTTGACCCCCGGTAGGCCAACCATGGATAAACCCAAGAAAATAAAAGTTTCAGAAGCAAACAGAATGTTTAATTCAACTACATATGCTAGTTTTGTGGCTGCTCAAGAAATAGCCAGGCACGGGAAGGGTTTTGTGGCTCCCGGTGTTTTCTTTTCTGTGGGAAATGGGTCCAAATGGCTCTTTGAGTGTTTAAGGTTGCAGACCCCTGGTCCATACCAGGAGTCTCCAGCCTTGGCAACTTTAAGCCTGGAGGACTTCAACTCCCAGAATTCCCTAGCCAGCTTGCTGCTGGCTGGGGAATTCTGGGAGTTGAAGTCCTCCAGGCTTAAAGTTGCCAAGGTTGGAGACCCCTGGTCTATACTGTTGATCTCTAATAAGACCAGAAGAAGAAAAAATCGTCTCAAGAAATTTTACGGTTATCATCCACACCAGGGACTAGCAACCGAAGGGGTGCTTACTCAACTGAAGTAAGTCCAGTTGATCTAAATGGGGCTCCTTTGTTTGTAAGCATGGCTTGAATGGCAGCCTCGGTCTTGTGTCCAAGGCAGAGCTCCTCGTTGTGTTTTCTCTTCTGCTCAGGTGGGACACCTTCGTGCGTTCCTGGGATTCATCTGTGCCGCATCTTGTCGTTTCGAAATACAGTGCTATGGGATCCTGCCGGAGTCTTCCAGAAAGGTGATTCCATTCCTCCTAAGATAGCAAAGCGCAGGTAGTCCTCGACTTACAGCAGTTCATTTAGTGACCATTCAAAGTTACAGTGGCACTGGAAAAAAATGACTCAAAATGACCGTTTTTCAGTTACAACTGTTGCAGCATCCTTGTGGTCATGTGATCAAAGATGCTTGACAACCGGTTCAAACTTATGACCGTTGCTGGGTCCTGGGACCTTCTGACAAGCAAAGCCCATGAGGAAGCCAGGTTCACTTAACAACCAGGTTACTAACTTATTCAACTGCAGTAATTCGCTTAAGGGTTGTGGCAAGAAAGGTCATAAAGTGGGGCAAAAATCTCACTTAACGACAGAAATTTTGGGCTCAATTGTGGTCGTAAGTCAAGGACCACCTGTAGAATTTATGATCCCTGATTGGATTCACACATTCCGTTTGTTTGAGGGGAAAAAATTATTAGCTACCCATCTTCCCATATGGGATAACCCTGGGCAGCTTTACAATATTAAGAGATAATGTTTAATTTATAGTAATATAAGCGCAACACTATAAATACTATACAATCATCCTAGCTAAAAAGATGGGAAGGAGGGAGGAAATATGATGAGAGGGTAGGACCCATCAACCACTCCCAAGCCAATTGGCAGAGTCTTTAAGCTCTTACAGGAGCTCAGGAGGGTTGGAGCTGACCTCACTTCTGAGGGGTAAAATGTTCCAGAGGGCAGGCTCAATTCATAAGATGTTGGTTGCTACGTATGAATTCAGTCCTTGCGGCTTATTTCACAAACGATGGGTACAACAAATCAGGGTTTAGGATGATGTTGAACAAAGTTGGATCAGAGTTCTTTCATGCTACAAGACACTGAACGGGTTCTAGCAAGACCAGAACTCAGTTGGTGGACTCTCAACAATGCCAAGACGGTTGCGGCCTACTTCAACCAAAATTACGGAGATTAAACAAGGATTGAAAACCAATCAGTCCTTTCGGAGAAGGCCTCTGAATAAGTGATTTGAGAAACAAGCTTGAACCCGCAGATAATATTTTACTCCAGGCTAATGTCCGTTCCTGCCAAAAACCAGAGCAGGCTCAGTTAGAAGTTTTGAAGCGGAAGATAACATAAGTGAGATTTGGTAGCAAATTACCTCCTACAAAGGCGTGCTTTTACTTCCCATGTGGAGGCACGTAAGAAAAGGAGGCAGATTACATGGAATAAGACACAACAAGAGCACTGCTGGTTTCTGGACCCTCCCGTGCTACCGTCTTCAATCCTACATGAGATCAGAGATAATGGGATGGGATGGGAAAGTGAACAAGTAGTCCTCGACTTACGACCCATAAGGGAGACTGCCATGATAGTTGTAAAATGGGTGAGTCAGTTTTGTTTGTTTTTTTTTTGTTTTTTTTTTTTTTTCCTGCAATCGTTGTTAAGCAAATCATTAGTTTGCTGTGGGCTCAGTTTTGCCAAAACCCAGAAATGAGTGTCAAACCTTTGTAAAACAGTCATGTGGAACTCTGCAAACAGCCGTAAATGCAGTCATGTTGCCAAGCACCTGAACTACAGTCATGTGACCACCAGGGGGCTCAGCCAACGCGCTGAACTGCACATCTGGGTTGTAAATCGCCCCATGGTAGATCCATCCTAACTTCGAACAATTGCTATGCGACTAGTCGTAAGTCAAGGACTACCTGTATTCTCTGATACAGTCCCTTCTACAGAATCTTCTCAGACTGGCAGGTCCCACTTTCTCTGACCAAAAATTGCCCAAAACACATCCTAAGTAGTGGTGGAAGTAAATCCCATGTTTTGAAGACCTTACGTAAGGGAAGGTTGGCCTATGGACTGATAAGGGCTTACACGATTTACTTTTTTATTCTGAAAATGCCTTATTTTTCTTCCCCCTCTTGGGCAGGTCTCCTCTCCCAGACGGCACTGTAATCCCAGGATTCCTCAGTCTGAAGAACAGAAATGCTGTCCCAAAGAGCTATTTCAGTAGGTCTTTTTAAGATGCAAAACCTTGCACTCTTTGATTATTATGCAGGATATTTTTGTATGTGTTTTAAAAAAGAAAACGCAGCTAGGAAAAAATGCTTTCTGCTCGGTTGGTTTTAAAATTCATCACAGTCTGCTCACATGTTGAATCCCAAGCGTAGACATTTTCCAAATGAAGGGGGGGGAAAGCCACAGAAACATTTATCCTCCGAGCTGTGGACTTTATATGCTGATTATTAAGGGGTTGGAAGGGAACATGAAGAATGAAAATAGCGCTTCTGTTACGTTGGTAGAGATCAAGCTTTCCAACAAGCTCCTGGAAGTTTGGACTACAATGACCATTGTCCCCAGCTTGACAGCCTGTATATAGGGTATGATAGGAACTATAGTCTAGCATAGTATGAGATTGCCAGTGGTTGGTTTTGTTCATTGAACCGAACAAGACTTAAAAATTCAGGAGTCCTTGTGTAGATTATAGGGAAAGTCCAAATGCTTGAGGAAGATGAAGAAATACAAAGAGCAAATACATTTGTGGCAAGCTAAGCCATTCTTTGTACGTGAACAACACAAATAAATTTTTTTAAAATTCTGCCAGCAGTCGTTCGACCAGTTATTTTGAATCTCTCTTTTAAATCCTTATCATTTCCCACAGCATGTTGGGGAATCTGGGTCTCCACCATGGGTGAATTCCAACCTGGCTGGAGAATTCTGGGAGTTGAAATCCACACATCTTAAATGTTGCCAAGATTGGGAAACACTGGCCTAGAATATCCTGGCCTTTGCAAATGTTCTCCCTCTTCATTTACGATGGATGTTGTAGCCTTTGGCATTCTGATCTTTTCCATCTTTCAAGAATACGTGGAATGGTATGACATCACAGCAGTCTATCCAACCAAGGCTATCCACAGATAGATAAATCTGTCTTAATAACTAATTACTGAAAAGATTGCAATTGTAGCCTCCCACAAAGGCGTGCCTATTACTTTCTGTGAGTGGACACGTAAGAAATGGAGGCAGAACAACTGGACTGGCGACGTTGCACAAAATAGACAACTTTCTTTGCTATTTGTAGATCTCCGGTCCTACATGTCTTGTAGAGAATGTAAAGGATTTAGATCCCTTTTGATTAAAATGGATTTAGGTCTGCTCGTTTAATTAAAATGTTCCGATCTCTATTTGAAGATTTTACAAGTCTTCCAAATTGTTTTCATTTTGAGAGCAATAGAAACAGATGTTTTTTTAAACTGCCTTTTTTTTTAAAGGATTGATTGAAAGATAGCTCCACAGTAAGTTCTTTCATAAATCAATTTCATGAAGCTGTGTGTCTTTTTTTTCTAACAATTGCTGTTTTTCTTGAGGATGACTGAATTATACTAAAAGATAAATACTTCAACATGGTTCTTGGTGATTTTTTTGTAGTTTAAAAATAGTTTTCTACTGTACTCAGTCAAGGGCATGTAAGGAAAATCAGGACGAAAGACAATGATATTTCAAGCACATACAAATATCAAGAAACATGTTATTTGTTATATGGAACATACCGTATTTTTCAGAGAATAAGACACCTTAATTTTTGGGAAGGAAAATAAGAAAAAAGCTGATTGGCAGGTGGATCAAATAACCCCAATCAGCTGATCCCAGAGGTGAATTTTAGCAACAGGTTTCTTGGTTGTGAGCTCTGTGCCCTTTTTTTTTTCCTGCCTCTGAAAGCCTCCAAAACAGCTTCAGAAAAAAAGCCTCTGAAGCTCTGGGGGCTTCTTTTCTGAAGCTTCATTTCTGATACTTTTTTCAGCCTCTGAAACCTCCGTTTGAGAAGCTGGGTGGGGCTACATTCGGAGTATAAGACGCACCCAGATTTTTACCCTCTTTACCCAGATTCGCTTAACGACCATATTATTTAACAACGGCAGTGGATCTGTGTCAGGAGATCTGTGATTATTAGATACTACAACGTAGGAGTTTCTAAGCAATTTTGGAGGCCCTCAGAGCTGTTCAAATTGTCCATTATCTTGACACCTCAATAAGGAAATGGCTATGTATATATCTCTACACTTCAGTTTCCTGAGACAGACAATATTTCACACAAGGGATTGAACTTCAAACTGACAGGCTTTACTTTAGTTTTCATATTTCCAAACCAATGCATTTTGGAATTACAAAGTATGCCTGCCTGTCTAAAGGTAAAGGTAAAGGTTCCTCTCACACATATGTGCTAGTCGTTCCCGACTCTAGGGGGCAGTGCTCATCTCCATTTCAAAGCCGAAGAGCCAGTGCTCTCCGAAGACGTCTCTGGTCATATGGCCAGCATGACTAAACGCCAAAGGCGCACGGAACACTTATCTTCCCACCAAAGGTGGTCCCTATTTTTCTACTTCCATTTTTTACGTGCTTTCGAAATGCTAGATTGGCAGAAGCTGGGACAAGTAACAGGAGCTCACCCTGTTATGTGGCGCTAGGGATTCTAACCGCTGAACTGCCGACCTTTCAATTGACAAGCTCAGTGTCTTAGTCACTGAGCCACCATGCCCCTTCGCCTGCCTGTCTAAACTCCCCCAAAACAGAACATAATGGGACTCTTATTTGATGTGGAGCAAGAAACTAGAATCATTAAATAAATAATAATAAAGGCTGGATATATATGAATGTTCTAAAAAATGGGCCAGATCCAGCTGAGGCTACAGAGCAAGGGTGGGAACCATGGCCCCTTTATGACTTGTGGACTTCAGCTCCCAAAATTCCTGAGCCAACAATGCTGGCTCAGGAATTCTGGGAGTTGAAGTCCACAAGTCATAATGGGGCCATTCCCCATCTCTGCTATACAAGAAAAAAATCCAGAGGTTTTCCCCAAATGCATGCTGACGGGAGGAAGTCAAGAATTGGTTTTGTATGTTGCCGAGTACTCCATCCTAAAAAAAACCCCCACACACCTGATCACATAATCCTGAAGCATCAATTAAGGGCCTTGGTGGCGTAGCAGACTAAAGTGCTGTTCAGTAACACCAGCTGCCTGCAATTACTGCAAGTTCAAATCTCACCAGGCTCAAGGTTGACTCAGCCTTCCATCCTTTCGAGGTAGGTAAAATGAGGTCCCGGATTGTGGGGGCAATAAGCTGACTTTGTATAAAAAAGAACACCGCTTTGGGGGGGGGGGCGAAAGCCCTACTAAGCAGGTATATACAAAAGTATGAAGGCTATTGCTTAACGCATTACAAGCTGCCCTGAGTCTCCGGAGAAGGGCGGCATATAAATCGAAACAATAAACAATAAGGAGGTTGGAAAGGCAAAAAATGAAAATCACCCAACCGAAGCCTGAAATAAGTCAAAATGGTAGATTTAAAGAATTTTGGATCCAGGTCAGGGGGAAGGCTGCTGGGGGTTCGGGAGAAACTCTAGCCAAGATTCTGTGCTGTTCGGAGAACCCCCAAATCCCACTCCGGGCTGGCCCCACCCTGCCGTCCCAGCGGCCCATTTCGGGTGCAGGGCATACATGGAGGCTCAGGCGAAAAATGGGCCTACTGGAAGTTTGGGAGAGAGCCTTCAGAGGCCGTTTCTGCCCTCCCAGAGGCTCAAGGAAAGCCTCCAGAGCCTGGGAAGGGCAAAAAGCACCCCCACCGTGGTGTAGGAGACCCAACTAGGCCATGGCCACGCCCACCCAGCAACCAGGCAGAGAACCCCTTGCTAAAATTTTTGAAGCCTACCCCCCTGGTCCAGGTGTTTCGTTCTATACCAAATATCCTATGCTGCAGCTCAAAAGCCTGGATAGCTCTGCAGACTAAAGCACTGTAATTTAACACCAGTTAAAGTAAAGTTCGAATCTTGCCAGGCTCAAGGTTGATTCAGCCTTCCATCCTTTCTAAGGTAGGTAAATTGAGGACCCAGTTTGTGGGGGCAATAAACTGACTGTATAAAATATTTAAAATATGAAGGCTATTGCTTAACACTCTGTAAGCCACCCTGAGTCTCCAGAGAAGGGCGGCATATAAATCAAATTTAAAAAAAATAAATAAAAAAAATGCACCCCCCCCCCCAAGATAACAATTTCAGTTTTAGATTTCAGCTTCCAAATTTGGGATGAGGAAGGCTTATGTCCTTGTGCAATTTAACAGTTGGCGTCAGAAATTTTTGCCGATCTGCTAGAAATCAATAAAAGCTCAATCTCTTATCAAAGCAAGGCCCTGCTAGAAGCTGAGCTTTTATCTAGTGATTATTTCAGATCCAAAGAAGTAAGCTATTTGGTCCATGCTTTTACTGGAATCTAACACGACTGACAGGGAAACCTTTATCTTTTACCTCAATTCCTATTTTATTTTTTTTTTAAAAAACAAACTTTTTAAAAAAAAATTAACTTCTGTGTTCTTTTTTAGGCATTGCACCCCAGTTCTGCCCATTTTTTGGAATTCAGTCTTTGACAGGCCGTTTCAAAGCTGTCGCAGCTTTCAAGCTGACTTAATTGCCCATTTTAGGGGCACATGTGTTTATTTTGGCATTATTGCAATTCTCGTGAGTTACCCTAACAGTAAAAGAGACATAGAAGTCGCTGCCACGAAGGCTACCTTTTGATCGCTATAATGATATAAGGCGCTGATGCCTAAATTCTTAATAAGCCCATTAAATTTAAATTTCTAAAACTAATTAAACCATTTAAATGGGATGTCCAACCAATTTTAAGACCTGTGGACTTCAATTCCCAGAATTCCCCAGCCAGCATGGCTGCCTTGAGAATCTTGGGAATTGAAGTCCACAGGTCTGAAAGCTGCCAGGGTTGGATTGCCCATTTAAATCTAAATTTCTAAAAAAATATATTTTTAAACCACTCCTAATTTAGAAAGGGGTTTTTTTTTTGTCTCCATCTCCCCCATTTAGCACCCAGGCCAACTGCTAAGACCTCATTCCAAAACCATCAAAAGTCTTTTCATACCCCGTTTATTGGCAGCTGAAAATAATAATAAAAAAACAAAAACAAAATCCCATATGTACAATTTTAAGGCAGTGCTGCCCTTCGGGGGGGAATCAGCGTCGTCTCTTGGCTGTGCTGGGTGGAGCTGGTGCCGTCTGTGTGGCTGCCCGCCTCTTGCTGGTTCTGGTAGAGGGAACGAGGGGGCTGGAAGCAGGAGATAGACCCACACTTCCATGCAGGCGGTGAGCCTCCAAGTCCACCGTCTGCTGCAGAATACCAGTCAGGATGAACTCCGCGTTGGTGATGGGGACTCTGGCCTCCTGAGCTGGTTTGCAGCGCGACAGGTCCTCGGGGCACGACACTACAATACGCTTCTCCTGAAACAGGTTACGAAAAAGGTCAGATTGTCGAGCCACGCATTTCTTGCAATACACTTCAATTTGCCTGCCTGCTGGAAAACCAGTATACAGGTAGTCCTCGACTTAACAACAGTTCACTTATAGCGACTGTTCAAAAGTCACAACGGCAGCAAAAAAAGTGACTTAACAGCCCTCTTTTTTTTTTCCCCCCACACTACTGTGGCAGCAACTCCATGCTCACGGGATCAAAATTTAAATGCTTGGCAACCGTCTCATATTTATAACGGTCGCAATGTCCCGGGGTCATGTGGACCCTTTCGCCATTTTCTAATACGCAAAGTCAATTTGGGGAAGCCAAATTCACTTGTCATTAATTTAATTTAATTAATCATATTTCTATGCCGCCCAATTCCCAAAGGACTCTGGTCGGCTTACAACAGAAATAATAACTGAACATAAAAATTTTTATTAGCTTAACAACTGCCGTGATTCACTTCGTAACTGTGGCAAGAAAGGTCGTAAAAGTGGGGCAAAGCTCACTTAACAACTCTCGCTTAGCAACGGAAATATTGGGTTCAATTGTGGGCGTAAGTCGAGGATCACCTGTAATTAAGTTAACCAGGGTTATGGTGAAAGTGTTGAACCAGGAATGGGGAGTCCCAAGTTGTAGTCCTCAACCATGGAAGCTTCCTGCTAAACAAGTGATAGCTAACCTTTTCCGGACTGAGTGCCCAAAGCATGCGCATGGCCAACCCCCAAAATGCAATATGTGTGCAGCCCCCGCGCATGCGCCCCATGCATGTGTGTGGCCCCCACGCACGGCCCCGTCACATGCACCCCAAACCCCATGCATGTGTGCACCCTCCACACAGGCAGGCACAGCCCTCTGCATGCACCCTGCCCCCCCCACGCATGCGCGGCAGAGACCTGGAGACCAGCTGGCCAGTGGGAGATGCGCGTGCATGCGTGGCGGAACTGAACTGGGTCGACAGCTCGCGTGCCCACAGAAAGAGCACTGTGTGCCACCTCTGACACATGTGCCATAGGTTCGCCATCACGGTGCTAGACTCTGGGCCAGCCACCCTCTCTCAGCCCAACTTATAACTCGGTGTAGTAATAAAACAAAAAAACAACCAAATAACAGCTCCGACTCACCTTAAAGGCCCGCGGCATTCTTGGTAATAAGGTCCCACCGCTGCATTTAACAATGTCTTTCATGTGTTCTGGTTCTGGCTTCACGTTAGGAGTGACATGGATCTCGTAGCCCTGGGAAAGAAAGAAACTCTGGAGTACTACCACAAGCAGTCCTCACTTAACGGCCAGTCACATAGCGCCCATTTGAAGTTAACGACACACCTCACCAAATGCCCCGATTTTGAAGTTCTGATGGCCATAAGACTTTTGTCTCTGGTGGTCGGTCATGTGATCATGTTTTGGAAGCCAGGGCTATTTGCAGTGTCCTGCAGTCAAATGATCACAGTTTTTTTTCTTTTTGCTGGTTTCCAGCAAAAAACACACGTTGGGTAAATTGGATTTGCTTAATGATCACTGCCTTGGCTTAACAACGTTTACTCAGTGGCACTGGCATTTGTTTAACAATTGCCACCATGTACAATCAGGCGTGGTCATGTATGAGCCACTGAAGGACCACAATGACTTAGCTGTAATTGCACTCTCAATTATAGTGATAAGTCGAGGATTACCCATGTTTGCCAGGGATGTGGGCAAAAAAAAAGGAAAGGAACATAAATCAAATTAAATAAAAAATAAATATCATATAGCAGGCTGGCAGCTGATGGGCCTAAAGCCAAACCTGCAGCTTTCACACAGCCTGGTTCCCTTCCCTTTACAGGTGCGTTGACTCAAATCGCATTCCCCACAATCCCCCAATACCCTGTTCATAGGTGTGTGTGTGTGGACTTGTGATTATGGAGCTGTTGTTTCATGGGCCTGGAGGCCACTAAACTGGGATGAAATTGATCTAGGAGGGGAACGACGGCCCTTTTATGACTGGTGGACTTCAATTCCCAGAATTCCTGAGCCTCAGGAATTCTGGGAGTTGAAGTCCACCAGTCATAAAAGGGCCGTCGTTCCCCACTTGTTCCTGAGGCTCAGGAATTCTGGGAGTTGAAGTCCACCAGTCATAAAAGGGCCGTCGTTCCCCACTTCTGTTCCTGAGGCTCAGGAATTCTGGGAGTTGAAGTCCACCAGTCATAAAAGGGCCGTCGTTCCCCACTTCTGTTCCTGAGGCTCAGGAATTCTGGGAGTTGAAGTCCACCAGTCATAAAAGGGCCGTCGTTCCCCACTTCTGTTCCTGAGGCTCAGGAATTCTGGGAGTTGAAGTCCACCAGTCATAAAAGGGCCGTCGTTCCCCACTTCTGTTCCTGAGGCTCAGGAATTCTGGGAGTTGAAGTCCACCAGTCATAAAAGGGCCGTCGTTCCCCACTTCTGTTCCTGAGCCTCAGGAATTCTGGGAGTTGAAGTCCACCAGTCATAAAAGGGCCGTCGTTCCCCACTTCTGTTCCTGAGCCTCAGGAATTCTGGGAGTTGAAGTCCACCAGTCATAAAAGGGCCGTCGTTCCCCACTTCTGTTCCTGAGGCTCAGGAATTCTGGGAGTTGAAGTCCACCAGTCATAAAAGGGCCGTCGTTCCCCACTTCTGTTCCTGAGGCTCAGGAATTCTGGGAGTTGAAGTCCACCAGTCATAAAAGGGCCGTCGTTCCCCACTTCTGTTCCTGAGGCTCAGGAATTCTGGGAGTTGAAGTCCACCAGTCATAAAAGGGCCGTCGTTCCCCACTTCTGTTCCTGAGGCTCAGGAATTCTGGGAGTTGAAGTCCACCAGTCATAAAAGGGCCGTCGTTCCCCACTTCTGTTCCTGAGGCTCAGGAATTCTGGGAGTTGAAGTCCACCAGTCATAAAAGGGCCGTCGTTCCCCACTTCTGTTCCTGAGCCTCAGGAATTCTGGGAGTTGAAGTCCACCAGTCATAAAAGGGCCGTCGTTCCCCACTTCTGTTCCTGAGCCTCAGGAATTCTGGGAGTTGAAGTCCACCAGTCATAAAAGGGCCGTCGTTCCCCACTTCTGTTCCTGAGGCTCAGGAATTCTGGGAGTTGAAGTCCACCAGTCATAAAAGGGCCGTCGTTCCCCACTTCTGTTCCTGAGGCTCAGGAATTCTGGGAGTTGAAGTCCACCAGTCATAAAAGGGCCGTCGTTCCCCACTTCTGTTCCTGAGGCTCAGGAATTCTGGGAGTTGAAGTCCACCAGTCATAAAAGGGCCGTTGTTCCCCACTTCTGTTCCTGAGGCTCAGGAATTCTGGGAGTTGTAGTCCACTAGCCATAAAAGGGCTGTCATTCCCCACCTCTGTTCCTGAGGCTCAGGAATTCTGGGAGTTGTAGTCCACCAGTCATAAAAGGGCCATCATTTCCCACTTCTGTTCCTGAGGCTCAGGAATTCTGGGAGTTGAAGTCCACTAGTCATAAAAGGGCCGTTGTTCCCCACTTCTGTTCCTGAGGCTCAGGAATTCTGGGACTTGAAGTCCACCAATCATAAAAGGGCCGTCGTTCCCCACCCCTTGTTTAGAATGTGAGAAATTCGAACGAAATTCGTGCTTGCTTTTGCTCCAGGACCTTCTCAGCATCGGGAAAAACTAGGGAGTGAGGAGAGGATAACTCTCTCTCATAGTAGTCAGGATACTGGATTCTTGAGGATTCACCTGGGCCCAAGACAGCAAACGATGGGCTCACCTGGAACAAGGCTCCTTTCTGCTGTGCTTTCTGCAGCGAGTTGGAGAGGCTGAACCGCAAATTCTCCTCCTGCTCAGGGTCCCGAACGAGGAAGTTGTTTGGGGCCAGGAAAAAAGCATTCCGTCTGCTCTGTGGGGTGGAAGCATGAATAAAAGGGAGATCCAACCACATACAGGAAGTTCTTCCTTTCCCTCCTGGAAGCAGGTCACCTCATTCCTGGAGCCATTAAATCAAACCATTTACAACGTGCTGTAAATTGGGAGCGCTGCGGAAGAGGCACTTCATACTGGCAATGCTTGGGAGGCTCATTAAAGCAGCTGCACCTCTGTATAGGCTTTGTGACTTTCCAGCGCATCGCCCTTCGGCGGTGCCTGTGCCTCACACAGGTGAAGTCATTTTAAGGAGTTGCCGATGGAAGCTGCATTTGTTACACAGATGCAATTCTAATGAGTTGCTGATGGATGCTGCATTTGCATACGGATACGGTAATTTTAAGGAGTTGCCGACAGAGGCATTTCTCTTTCAAAAACCTCTTCCAAACTGCATCCCAAACACTTGCATAACCCTTAATGAACGGGTATCGAACTCGATCACGTCACGGGCTGGATCGTGACGTATTGTGACTTTTTTGCCTTTGCAGAGCCGGGGTGGGCGTGGCCTGCACAGGACGTACCAGGCCCGCGAGCCACCAATTTAAAAGGCCTGCCTTAATCAATGGGTCCTTGTCCACAGTCCTACTGTTGAGCTCTTAGCTGTCAGAGGCTTCCAGGTTTTTCTCTATTGGAGAATATTTAAATTAAAATACAGCTAGTCCTCAATTTACAACCACAAAAATTTATGTTGCTAAGTGAGAAATCTGTTAAGTGGATTTTGCCCCAGCTTACGACTTTTCTCCCCACATTTGTTAAATAAATCGCTGCAGTTCTTAAAAGTAGTAACACGGTTGTTAAGTGAATCTGGTTTCCCCTTTGACTTTCCTTGTGAGGTCGCAAAAGGGGGGGAGGGGGGTCACGTGACCTCCGGGACACTGCAACTGTCATAAATGTGAGTCAGTTGTCAAGCATCCGAATGTAAAATTACATGACCACGGGAATGCTGCAACGGTCATCATCAGTGTGAAAAAAGGGCCTAAGTTGCTTTTTTTTAATGCCAATGTAACTTCGAACAGTCACTAAACGAACTGTTTGTAAGTCGAGGACTACCTGTAGCTGGAGGCAAAGCTTGCCTATTTCCACTGAACCAGTGGTGGGTTTGTACCGGTTCTATCCAGTTTGGGCGAACCACTAGCGGCGGCAGGAGGCTCCGCCCACCCGCCCGGACATCATCATGGATGCTCTGCGCAGGCACAGAAGGTTCTGTGCAGGCACAGATGTGGCACAGACGAGCAAAGCAAGTGCACATGCGCTCACATTTAAGAACCAGTAGCAAGGGTAAGTGAATCCCACTACTGCACTGAACTATCCCATCCGTTAAGGCAGGGGTGAGCAACCCGTGGCTCTGGAGCCGCATGTGGCTCTTTCATCCCTCTGCTGTGGCTCCCTGTCGCCGGTCGGCTCCACAATTGATAGGGCTTTCTGTTAGGACAGGTAAAGGAAAAAGGATGCTGCACTAGAAAGAGACTCTGTAGTGGGGAAACCAGACTTCCGGTTGGCTCCAGAATTGACCAGGGGGCTTCCAGTTAGGACCTTTGTGGCTCTTTTGAGTATTTAAGATTGCCGACCCCTGTGTTAAGGGATACTCCCATTCCAAATTCAATACGCCAAATTCAACTCAACACACAGCAAATTCAACTCAGAAGCACGCTCTTATACTAAAAAAAAAAAAAGATTAAATGGCTCATCTTCGGAGAAATTGCCTCCTTGAGCTCCTGCACGAGTCACTGTTCTGAAAGATCTCCAGTAGCACAAATGCCTCCTTTGTTCTAGGAGTCCTCCCCCAGAAATACATATTTCTGCTACCTAGCCTTGGGCAGACTCCTCCAAAAGGCAGATGCGTATGTATTAGGAAAAACAACCTATTGTGTGAAAGTATTCCTTGGCCTCAGTGGACGCAGGATGGGTAGAAACAAGAGCCAGAGTAATAAAACATGCAGAGAAACAGTGTGAATCCTCCCTGGGAGTGACTCGCAGAGGCCAATCCTTAATATCAATTTATTTCTCACAAAAATCTACCTGCAGCTGCCTTGCAAGGGCTTTAAACTGGAGTTTGTAGAGATTCTTGGCTTGTAGAGATTCTTAGTCATCCAGGACATGGTTGCCTTAAAGGTAGGCATTTTTTTTTCAGAAAGCAACTGACTACAGGAACCATTAGCACCACTCAGGTGACCCTGAGGACACAGATAAACCTCCAGGTGGCCTCAACGTCTCTCTAAAAGGATGCAAATGACCAGTTGTCTGCAAGGGATATAAATCCTTCCATTCCCTACCATTCAATCAGAGCTGAAGAAGCTTCTTGGATGAGAAGTGAAACATCTTCGAAAGAAAAAAAGAAGAAAGTCCAGTTGCTTCCTGAAAAAAAAAAACTCCTTTGGGATGATCAATCTGGCTTGGGAAAAAAAAGTGGGGAAATTCAGTTAGTTTTTGGCTTACAACCAGTCATTTAGTGACTGTTTGAAGTTACGACAGACCTCCCTGGGGCTACTTATGACCCAGATTCAAAGTTCCAACAGCTGCTCTACCCTGCAATCATATGACTGTATTTCGGGCACCCGGCAACCAGCCTGTACCTCGGCCATTTTTAACATCCCGCAGTCACATGTCCACCATTTACAATGTTTTTGGTGGAAAACAAGAGTTTACTTCCAGTTTCTGGCAAAAAAACGCTCATTGTGGACAAGGGATTCACCTAACAACCGCAGTGTTTGCTTTATGACTGCCACATCTGCTTAACCATCGCAAAAAAAGATGGTAAAATTGGGCACAGACAAGCGGTACAGCCCTTCAATACTTAGAATGCAGTATTGCAGGCAGACTCTGCCCACTGTCTGGAGTTCAATCCTGACTGGCTCAAGGTTGTCTCAGCTTTCCCTCCTTCCGAGGTTGGTAAAATGAGGACTTAAAGATTGTTGGGGGCCATATGCTGACATTGTAAACTGCTTAGAGAGTGTTGTAAAGCGCAGGGAAGGAGTCTATAAGTCTAAGTGCTATTGCTATTAACAGTTAATGATGACTTACGATCATAATTCCGGGTATCAGAAAAGTGAGTTACCTTCTCCAGCCAATCAAGTGTCACAATGGGGATTCCCCGAGCCAGGGCACACAAGAACTTGACAGTGCGACGTACGCGGTCTGTCACAAGATGAGTGCAGTCAAAGACAGATTCTGCCAGAGTACCCCCCAACTCGGCCACTATACGCTCTCCTTCCTCATCAATCACACCTGTGAACAGCACCTGAAAAGAGGAGGGAGGTAAATCGACAAACTTGTCAGATTATTCATGAACTGGCAGAGACATGGTAACAAGATCAGCCAATGAATAGGCATGGCAACTAAGTCAGCCAATTGGGAGCTGAGACAGACTGGAGCCAGGGCGTGTCTTAGTCTGCAGCTTCTGAGTCTGTGCAGAGAATGGAAACAGAAACTAAACAAGTCTGGACTTGCTTGCCTGCTCTGTGCTCAGATCTAAAATGAAACTAGCTTGTCTGCTCTGCTGAAATGAAACTAACTGTTCTCTCCTGCCTGTAACTTCTACCACGTTGGAAGAATCAACTACTGGTATTGTAAATACTTCATCTGTTATTATGTATATAAAGAAGTTAATGAATCCAGATGAATCAGTTATCTGTGTGTGCTTCTGGATTTGATTTTTGCAAGAAACTCTGATAAAACTTTCATGTTAATGATGGAGCCAATGCAACTCAAGTGGCCATCTTCCTTTGTCCAGCCCCAAACCCTCCCCTGCTACCATAATAATGCACACGCCATACCTTGGGGGCAGGGCTGCCAGATCCAGTGGTGCGCCGGGTGCGACTGCCTGATGAAGCCTTTTGACTTGTCGCTTTGCTCTCTGGGCTGTGACGCCGCAACCTCCTTCCTGAAGATGGAGTGAAGACGAGTTCCTGGCGAAAAAGCCCATCAGCCCCCAATTGTATGAAGACTTGGTGAAAGAGCACCACAACCTCTGGCCCCAAGGCCCAAGCACACCGCTTACCTCCTGGATGGGGGTGCCCTGCCTTCAGACACCTCACGAGGCCTGAGCAGTCGCACAATCCAATGACAGCTGGCCTTGCTCAACAACCCCCAAGTTTGTTGGCTTCACAAAACCAAGGCTAATCAGGTTGGATTCACTCCCAAACTTCTAGAATCCATTTTTACCAACAGGTATTTTAACATAGACCTGCCAGCTTGCCGATTTCCAAGACTCGGCTTATGCAGCTGTGTACTTGAAGCCCTCGAATTAACAACAGTTCATTTAGTGACTGTTTGAAGTTAAAGCGACACTGAAAAAGTGACTTACGACCGTTTTTCACACTTAATGACCATTGCAGCATCCCCATGGTCACGTGACGAAAGTTCAGCTGCTTGGCCACTGACTCGTATTTATGATGGTTGCAGCGTCCTGAACCCCTTTTGCGACCTTCTGACCAGCAGTCAACGGAGAAGCCAGATTCGTGATTGAACCGCCGTGATTGACTTAATAACCATGGCAAGAAAAGTCGCAAAATGGGGCGAAACGTGCTTGACCACTGCCTCGCATAGCAACAGAAATGTTGGGCTCAATCATGGTCGTAAGTCAAGAACTACCTGTATGAAATGATCAAAAGCCGGGAATTGTAGGAGCTGAGGCCACAATGCATCAAGGGAAGGCAGCAGGTTGGGGACGGATGCTCCCCAGGGGTGAAATGCTCCCGGTTTGGACCGGATCACCCGATCCGATAGCGATGGCGGCGGGTGGTTCGGAGAACCAGTAGCAAAAATCCCTGCGGGGGCCCCCCCCATGCCCAACTGAGCCCCGCGATCATCAGAGGCTTTTTTTTTTACTTTTAAAAGCATTTTTTCTACAACCTCTTCCGAAGAAAAAATGCTTTTAAAAGTAAAAACAAAAAAAGCCTCTGATGATCGCGCGGCTCAGCTGGGATCATCAGAGGCTTTTCAAAGCATTTTTTCTGCAACCTTTTGGCCGAAGAGGTGGTTTAAAAAAAGCTTTGAAAAGTCTCTGGCAACTCCCAGCTAAATTGCCTGATTGCCAGAGAGGTATTTTTTAAAAAGCCTCTCTGACGATCCCAGCTGAGTCGCCTGATTGGCAGAGGCTTTTCAAAGCATTAGAAAAAATGCTTTGAAAAGTTAAAAAAAAAAAGTTGGCCACGCCCAGCCAGTCACATTAACCCCCCCGCCACCACCAAGCCATGCCCACAGAACCGGTAGTAACGAATTTTACATTTCATCCATGACGCTCCCCATTGGTTCACGAAACCCTGGAGACCCTCCCATTTAAGATGACTGACTAGCAGGACCCTGTTAGGTCTGCCAAAGGCCACTTACATCACCTGTGGCTGTCAAGGGCCGGGTTTGAATGGGAAAGGATGTGTGGAAGAGCAGCCACATCCATCAGTCTAAGCAGCTGTAGATGTATGAGGCCTAGAGGGGGACGTGGCCCTTCTAATGATTCAATTAAGGGTCGGTTGCCCTGAAATGGGGGTGGGGAAGGGGAGGGAAGCTTTCTTAGGGCAGCTTTTTTTTTTCCTTTTCTTGGATACCTACCTGCCCAAGCTTGGCACCTTTCCCAGAATCCTTTGGGCTTGGGGTGCTCACGGAAGTGCTGCTGCTGCTGCTGGAATGCTTGCTGGCCCGAGTCCTTGGATGCTCCGTCTGCCCTTCTAGCCTAGGGTTGGGAGCCGGAGCCCTCCGGACCCGTTTTGTGGGTTCCCTGGCCCCAGGGCTGCTGCCAGAGATGGCTTTTGCTACTTCTGTAACTTTGCTGGCAGCCCTGGATGCCCTCTGGGTGCCCCTCGTTCGACCTTGAGGGACAGGAGCAGCGTTCAGGTCTCCATTCCTGGCCTTCTTCCTGGGCCCCTCTTCTCCGGGCTGTTCTGGCCTCTCCTTCACTTCCCTCATTTGCTGACTTGCGTTGCTGAGCTGCCGCAGCCCCCTACGCCTGCTCTCTGGGGCAGCCGGGGTGCTGGATGCAACCACGGCCCCAGATCCGTGACAGCGGAGGCTTCGTCTTTCTGGGACCGGAGTGGGTGAAGCGGAAGTGGTTGAAGATCGTAGACTGCGCCGCAACTCACGGGCAGGGGTTGTTGCTGAAGCTGGATCCTCCTGGGCTGGCACCAACACCTAAGGGTATCAAATGGAGCTCAGGCATCATGCCAAACCATGAATCAGTTAATCAGATGGGGCAGGGGGGTTGCACAAACCACAATTTGCTGAGTTCTCATAACAAACCGCCATTTACCAATCACGGTTATCCTGTTCTACCCCATGAGATAAGAAAAATGTGAATTTAGCTTCACCAAATCAGTTCTTGGTTCATAAAGGACGCCAGTCACCCTCAGTCCAACCCATCTCACAAGGTGGTGGTGATTGTGGGGAAAAGAGGGGAAGGGAGTAGCATTACGTATGTTCACTGCCTTGAGGTATTCATAAAATAACTCATTTATAATTATCTATAATATATACGAGACCACCTTCTGCCACCGATAACCTCCCACCGGCCAATACGCTCCCACAGAGAGGGTCTCCTCAGGGTGCCGTCGGTCAAGCAATGTCTACTGGTGACCCCCAAGGGGAGAGCCTTCTCTGTGGGGGCACCCGCCCTCTGGAACAAGCAACCCCCAGGGATACGATTGATCCCGGACCTCCGTACTTTCTGCCGGGCGCTGAAGACTTTTTTATTTCAGCAAACCGGGCTGGCTTAAAAATTTTAATTGGTTAATTTTATGGGTAAGGGGTTTTAAATTGGGGATTTAATTGATTTAATTATTTTAATTTTCATATTGTATGTATTTTAATCCTGGCTGTTCACCGCCCTGAGTCCTTCGGGAGAAGGGCAGCATAAAAATTTAATTAATTAATTAATAATAATAATAATATATTATCATTGTCAATAATAATAATAATAATAATAATAATAATAATAATAATAATAATAATAATAATAAATTTATTATCATCATCATTTATCCACTGCCTATCCACTGTAGGATGAAGGCCTTTTCCGTATGTTTCCAACCATGGTCCTGAGCTTTTTTTTGCCAAGTGGGCCCACAATACTTGCTGATATATATAAATATATATATAATATATATTTATATAATATAATATAATATATATATATATATATATATAAATATATATGTGTATTACATATATTAACAAATAACTATTATTTATATTGCGCCTCAGTGGCACAGTGGTTAGAGCGCAGTACTGCAGGCTACTTCTGCCGACTGCCGGCTGCCAGCAGTTTGGCAGTTCGAATCTCACCAGGCTCAAGGTTGAACTCAGCCTTCCATCCTTCCGAGGTGGGTAAAATGAGGACCCAAATTGTTGGGGATGGTATGCTGACTCTGTAAACCGCTTAGAGAGGGCTGTATAGCACTGTGAAGCGGTATATAAGTCTATGTGCTATTGCTATGTTTAATATGTATGTTTTATATTTTTATATGTAATATTTATTATTTATAAAAATAATAGAGACAGGATATTAAATAAATAAAGGCGAATCTGATGTTTACCTTCTTAGAGTTCTTTGTTTTTCTTACTAATTCCGAGTTTTCTTCCACTCGGTCATCCACAGGAGCTAGAAAAAGCCAAAGGATGAAACAGCCTGGATTGAAAAACACCATTTCAATTTTTTGCCACCAGGGGGCAGAGCAGAGATACGGACATATTAGTATAATGCAGGCCGTGCTCCCTACCTCACATAAACCAATGGGAAATGGAACTCTATTCTACGCTAATATATTCCTGCCAGAGTTTTTGGCTATAACAGATAATTGGCTTATGACTGGTTGCTTAGCAACTGTTCAAAGTTACAATGGACCCCCCCTCAAAAAAAAGCTATTTATGATATAAGGTGCTGAAGTTACGATGTTCACCCCAGTTCCAGTCACATGACCCCATTTTGAGCGCCCGGCAACTGGCCTATATTTACAATGGTTTTTTCCCCCCGTTTCCATCCCATAGCAAACAATGGATTCACTTAACAACCAGATCCTTCACTTAACAACAGCGGCATTCACTTTACCACTGTGGCCTTTGCTTACTGACTACTGATGCAAAAAAAAGTCATAAAATCAGGTCCAGTCACACAATGACCCAGCATCCTGATTCATGACTGTGACTGCCAGGCCTCAACGATGGTCGTAAGTCGAGGATCACCTGTACGCAACTCGCGAAAAACAGCAGCCTGGAGCAGGAAGGCCTGGGGAATCACATTCCTGTCCCCTCATCCTCAAACCTACAGCTTCTCTTTGGACTTGGAGGTATCAATTTGAGCCTGGTGGATCCCCCAATATGGATTGCAGGTGATGGTTCCCCAGGAGCCCTCAATCCAGATTGCATGTGGCCCACAAGATGACTATGGCTCATCTCGAAAGGAATCACAAGCACTGCTGGAATGCCACTAAAGACCAGTTCCAGCGGGCGCATGGAATATTTTGGATTTATGCTGGAAGATGAAAGCTTCAAGGCTTTCCCTGCCCAAGGAGGGGAATGAAATGGTGCTGAAGCAGGGAGAGAATCTTTTTGCAACAGATTCTCAACAACTGTGAGGATAAAAAGTAAAGGTTCCCCTCACACATATGTGCTAGTCATTCCCGACTCTAAGGGGCGGTGCTCATCTCCGTTTCAAAGCCGAAGAGCCAGCGCTGTCCAAAGACGTTTCCGTGGTCATGTGGCCGGCATGACTAAACGCCAAGGCCGCACGGAACGCTGTTACCTTCCCACCAAAGGTGGTCCCTATTTCTCTACTTGCATTTTTTATGTGCTTTCGAACTGCTAGGTTGGCAGAAGCTGGGACAAGAAACGGGAGCTCACCTGGATTCGAACTGCTGAACTGCCGACCTTTTGATCGACAAGCTCAGCATCTTAGCCACTGAGCCACCACGTCCTGTGGTGAGGGTAAGAGAAGCCAAAAAGAACTCTGGAGAAGCTCTGAATAAATGTGGGAGAAGACAGAAAGGAACTTCGGCCCCGGAAGAGAAATATGACCCCCCCAGTTTTAAAAAATCTGCATCTGATTGAGAGCAGAGACGAGCCAGTTTCCAAATCCAGGGTTGCAAAAGCTCTGAAGTTCCACTTAACGGTGTTTTAAAAACGCCAATAAAACAGAAATAAAACTGCCCCCTTTCTGAGAAAAAGAAAATATTCGAGAATTTTGGATACTTGGCTAAGGTTCCCAGGCCTGGGGCTCAAAATGTTGTGAAGAGCCCCATTGCTTGGCTTCTCTATTAACAGATTAATCTCATGACTGCTGTTTGTTTGCATGTATTTGTTTTATGGGTGTTTTTGATTGGTTTAATATCTTTTAAATCATTTTAAAATTTTATAGACTTGCTAGCTGTCCAAGAATCACTTGGTTGAATTGGAGAGGCCATAGAAACTGAAAAAAAAAAAAAATAAGTTTCCAAAGCAGAGTTTGGAGCCTTTGCCATTTGCAACATAGCCCCTTGGTGTCACCCTAAATGTAAACCGCAACCTCCGGTTCAGTGTTTCTTAACCTTGGCAATTTGAAAGAGAGGTGGACTTCAACTCCCAGAATTCCAGGAATCAGGGGAATTCTGGGATTTGAAGTCCTACACCTCTCCAAGTTGTCAAGGCTGACAAACACCGCTCTCGCTCTTCCAAGTTTCCTCACCTCTTATTCAGAGCTGAGGAGATGACGTGGTGGCTCAGCGCTTAAGATGCTGGGTTTGTTGGCTGGAAAGCCGGCAGCCCAGGTTCGAGACCCGAGCTCCACGCAACGGGGTGAGCTCCCTTCCTCTCCCCAGCTCCTGCCAACCTAGCCGTTCGAAAGCTTACAAAATGCAAGTAGATAAATAGGTACTCCTTCGGTGGGAAAGTAACAGCTCTCTGTGAGATCATGCGGGCCACATGACCACAAAAACATCTTCAGATAGTGATGGCTCAATGGCATTGAAAGAAGAGATGAGCACTGCCCCCTATAGTTGGCAAAGATTAACAAAGTAAAATCTGCAGAGACTCCTTTTTTCAGAGCCAAACTCTATTTGTGTAAATAAGTAAGTAAGTAAGTAACTAAGTAAGTAAGTAAATAAAACGGGTTCAACTAAGATGCCCCGTTATGCATTGCAGCCTCCACGATGCATTGCAGCAGTGAGAACCATAATCCACTCATTCCCCTTATGACAATCTTTCACATGCTGCCACTCACTTGCCTCACTCTGTCTTGGCACCACCACCTCTGAAGAAGGGCTTCCACTTTCCGGGACCTCCTCCCTCTTCTCTTCCTGTGAAGTGAAGGACCCCTTGCTGACCACAAGGGGAATTTGCACAGAACCGAGAGGCTGAGTTTCCTCTTCAGGGGCGCCCTCTGATGTCTGCAAGGGGGACTGCATAGCAGGCAACTCCACAGCCTGAGGCGGAGGGTTGTCTCCTGAAAGACTGGAGGTGCTTTCTTTTCCTGGAGAGGTTGCAGCTGGGAAGTCAGGTTGAGGCACCTGCTCAAAACATTTGTCCCCTTCGGGTTGGTTCTGGACAATCCGTTCTGGATCCAGCTTCTTTTTGTCGCAGGGCTCTGCTGAGACTTGCTGGGGCTCCTCACAATATGGCTGGGTAGCTTCCAGCATGTCATCTTCCTGGTCAGAACTGTTGTCTTTCAAAGGTGAGCTGGTCACTAGGAGGACAACGAGTAGAGACATATTGTCTTCATTTGCTCTTAAAACTAAGCAGGCCTTCCCTGTCTAATGTCCTTCCAATTGTATTCTGGGATACAATTGCCTTGATCCATTATCCAACATAATGGAATCCGGAATTTCCATTTTAAGTCATGAAGGTCATAAAGTCAAAGCATCACATGACCCGATTTTACAACTTTATTTTGTAGTGGCCATTAATCCAATGCCATAGTCATTAAGTGAACGTGGCAGTCATTAACACAAATTAATGTGTTCCTATATGCATTTTTTTTTGTGGAAAGCAACTGAAAAGGCTGGAAACTGGCCAGTAGCAATCCTTGCTGAAACAATGGGGACCAGAGTCCATGAATTTATTTAGAAGGGGAATCAGGTGAAGGAAACCTTTGAAGTTCTACCAGGATCTTCATGTTTATCACACCAAGTTGCAATCACTTCCCTCCCCCTCTATTAGAAGTAGCCCAGCTACAATTTCAATCAAACAGAATAGAGCTGGAAGGGAACTTGGAGGTCTTCTAGTCCAACCCTCTGCTCAAAAAGGAGATCCTATACCATTTGAGACAAGTGGCTGTCCAATCTCTTTTAAAAAACTCCAGTGATGAAGCACCCACAATTTCTGAGGGCAAAGCTGTTGTACTGGTTAATTGTCTTCACTGTTAGGAAGTTTCTCAATTCCAGGTTCCTTCTCTCCTTGATCAGTTTCCATCTATTGTTTCTTGTCCTGCCCTCTGGTACTTTGGAAAATAAGTTGACTCCGTCTCTTCTTTGTGGCAGCCCCTCAAATACTGGAAGACTGCTATCATGTCACCCCAATCCTTCTTTTCTCTAGACTGGCCATACCCAATTCCTGCAACCGTTCTTCGTATTTTTTTTAAAAATTTGATTTATATGCCGCCCTTCTCCGGAGACTCAGGGCGGCTTACAATGCGTTAAGCAATAGCCTTCATTCTTTTGTATATTTTATACAAAGTCAGCTTATTGCCCCCACAAACTGGGTCCTCATTTTACCTACCTTAGAAAGGATGGAAGGCTAAGTCAACCTTGAGCCTGGCGAGATTCGATCTTACTTTAATTGCAGACAGCTGGTGTTAAATTAAGTGCTGTCTGTTGAGCTATCCAGGCTCTTTGGAGGCTCTATCCAGGTTTTTGTCTCCAGGCCCTTGATCATCCTAGTTGCTCTTCTTTGCACTTTTCCAAAGTCTCAACATCTGTTTTGTAATGTTTTTACAAATAAAATTTGTAACAATAAAAATTGTTACAAAATAAATATAAAAATTTTATTTTATAAAAATAAAAAACAATAAAAACAATTAATTTTTTTTAATTTTTTTGGTAATTTAAAGGTTTTTAAGCTCTCACTTCCTTCTCCTTGGCAATTCTGTTGTCCACTCTCTACCTCAGGTGACAAGAGGTAGATCAAGCCTGAGGTTCAGGAAACTGGACTCCAAAGGCAATTCTTGATGCAGATGTAAGCAAGGGCTGGCCTTCCAAACTATTGCTGAACTACAACTCCCAGTTTTCCTCACGATAGGCCACGCTTCCCAAGGGAGGTTGGGAGATGAAATTCAAGAAGGAATGGAATGCCACAGGGGCAACATCCTTGTATGCAATTGCTCCCAAAATTGCTCGTCACTGCATCGTTTCTAGCTGGTCATTATAACAACTATTATTTAACACAGGCAGAATTGGTGAATTGTTTCTAAATTTCCTTTACCCTTGCCCAGCTTCGATGGGGATCCAGAGATGCTGGCGTTCTTCCTGAACAAGGTATGGGCCCACCTGGGCCAGTATGCACCGGCCTACCCTATTGTGTGTCACGTCTTTCCAGAATACAGGTAGTCCTTGTTTAGTGACCATTCGCAGTTATGATGGACCCCTCACCCCCCCCCCAAAAAAACTAATTACAATCAAGCGTCCAACAGCTGCCCATACCCTCAGTCACATGACTGCATTTCGAGCACTTGGTAACTGGCTCATCTTTACAGCCAGTTGCAGTATTCCAGCCATATGATCATAATTTACTATTATTATTATTATTATTTGCCAGTTTCAGCCTTTTTGGCAGCCTTTTCCACCAAAAACACCCAAACTTAGTTACTTGAGAAGCCATATCTGACCCATCACGACCCCATGGACAATGTTCCTCCAGGCCTTCCTGTCCTCTACCATCCTCTTGAGTCCATTTAAGCTCACGCCTACTGCTTCAGTGACTCCATCCAGCCACCTCATTCTCTGCCGTCCCCTTCATCTTTTGCCCTCAATCGTTCCCAGCATTAGGCTCTTCTCCAGTGAGTCCTTCCTTCTCATTAGGTGGCCAAAGTATTTTGAGTTTCATCTTCAGGATCTGGCCTTCTAAAGAGCAATGAGGGTTGATCTCCTCTAGGACTGACTGGTTTGATCGCTTTGCAGTCCAAGGGACTCGCAGGAGCCTTCTCCAGCACCATAGTTCAAAGGCCTCAATTCTTTGGCGCTCAGCCTTCCTTATGGTCCAACTTTCACAACACCCATAGGAATACATTAATTTGTATGAATGACCGCCATTTTCACTTAATGACTATGGCATTGGATTAAATGTCCACTAGAAAATAAAAGTCATAAAACTGGATCCGGTCATGTGGTGTTTTGACTTATGACCATCATGACTTACCATGGAAATTCCAGATTTCGTTACATTTGTAAGTCGAAGGCTACCTCGTATGAGCAGAAACGTAGGCCAACTATATGAACCTCAGACAGAAGTTTCTTAATTGAAGAACAGGACTTCCAGTGCTTTAAGCAAATTAAACACCAGACTCTACATATAGAGGCCACATTTGCTGAAATGCTCTTAATTATATTTCTGAAAATCCAGGATTCCTGCCAACCCACAAACATCTTCCCTTCCTCTATAATTTTCTTCTTTTCCCAGACTGCTTTCTAAGAAAACTTGGAAAGGTTCAACTATGCAAAGACATTTCTAAAGAGCGTATTAGAAACAAGAGGATGGGGTCTGAACAAACCTCACATGCTATAAATACAAATAATTTCTCCCCCATTCTGGGACATTCCCCTTCTAGAAAAGAGTTGTCAGATATAGCTGCTTTAGAATACAGGTAGTCCTTGACTTACAACAGCTCATTTAGTGACCAAAGTTACAATGGCGCTGAAAAAAGTGACTTATGACCCTGTGTTCAGACTTACAACGGTTGTGACATCCCCATGGCCACATGATCAAAATGAGGACACTTAGCGACTGATTCATATTTATGACAGTTGCAGCCCCCCAGGGACACGTGATCTGCTTTTGTGACCTTCTGACAAAGTCAGTGGGGAAGCCAGATTCACTCAACAACCGTGTTACTAATTTAACAACTGCAGTGATTCACTTAACAACTGTGGCAAGAAAATGGAGCGAAATTCATTTAATAACAATCTCTCTGCAAAAGAAATTTTGGGCTCCATTGTCTAAGGGTTACCTATATTGTGATCTTGAGAAAATGTGATCAGATCCTAAAAAATTATTCAGAAATGTTCAGGTACAATCAATGAAAGGAAGATAAGCAAATGAGAGATTTGGGGCAAGTGCAAGGGGATTAAACTAATTAAAAACAATAGATCACGATCCAAATTCAATGCAAGTAATGAAATCTAAAAGAATGTACATTCCCCTTTTTCACCCTGTCGTCGAGGTTAGCCCTGGACAACAAATTCCATCATGGAAAAATCTCCTCTCGTTGGAAAAGAGACTCACCATTCCTGAATTGACGTTTGGTGGGTAAAAAGGGTGGACTGAAGTCAAATGCCTGAGTGGGCTCCTCTTCTAGAGCACAATCGGAATCAGATACTTGGGGAGTGGAAGAAAGAAATCCATATTATAATAAGTCATGGGAAAGAAAGAACTGTTCTGGAGCAGGGGTGTGAAACTCAAGGCCTGGGGGCCAGATCCGGCCTGCGGGATGCTTAGATCTGGCCCACGGGGTCACAGTGCAGCCCATAGTGCCGTGATGGCGAACCTATGGCACACATGCCACAGATGGCACGCGGAGCCATATCGGTGGGCACTCGAGTGTTGCCCTACCTCAGCTCCAGCGCGCATGCATGTGCTGGCCAGCTGATTTTTGGGGCCTTCCGGTCCTACCAGAAGCCGGGAAATGGGCCTTTTCCGGCCTCCGGGGGAGTGGGGGCGGAGAATGCTGTTTTCACCCTCCCCAGGCTCCAAGAAAGCCTCTGGCGCCTGGGGAGGGTGAAAAACAGGCCTACCATGCCATCATGTGCCAAAAGTGGGGGGAGCGCAGGTGGGGTCACACGCACATGCGCGAGGGGGTAGGGTGCAATGAATTATGGGTGTGGGCCCACACACGCACGATCACCCCGCATTCCCCCCTCTTTTGGCAAAAAGGTTAGCCATCACTGCCATAATGCCTCTGCCAGAGAAAATGGAGCTCTGTTTTCTCTGGCAGAGGGTTGCAGGAGGCCATTGCAGCCAAAAATGGAGCTTGGGAGCCTGTTTTCGCTGGAAGAGCACTCGGGCCATCACAGGCGCAACCGTCACCGACATGAGTGACATTGAGCTGGCCACGCCCACCCCAGCCCCCCAAGGTCAAACACAACCCTGATGCGGCCCTCAATGAAATCGAGTTTGACACCCCTGTTCTGGAGGATCGGGCTAGGGGTCCATCTAATCTAGAATTCTGTGTCATGCATCGGCCAACCAGGTGTATTCCAGAAATTCTAAATCACAAGCCAGGAAAGGAAAAAAAAAAACACCATCCGTTTTAAGAAAGCTAAAATAAAGAATGTAGGAGTCACTGAACCTTTTCTAACTGAGCTTCCAATTCTGTGATTTATCAACTGCCATTCAAAATGCTCCCCACGCATTCCAGAAATGCCAATGATTGTGGGGTCCTGGGTGCTCCCTGAGCTTGCTTGTTTTTAGACGTTTCATTACCCAACTAGGTAACGTCATCAGTATATCTCAGTGATTTTAAGGGGGTCCTTGCCACTAGGTCTCTTCTCTTCCAGATGATCCAGAAGTTCGGCAATGTTTCTTACCTGTAGCTGGGATACCGCCAGCTTTTTCAGGTCCAGATGGTATGGTTGCAGTCGGCAGGTAACACTGTGTAGCTTGCAAGGACACATCAAGCTCATCTGAAAGAAGAGAAACAGTGGAAAGAAATGTGCCATGTACATTGTGTGCTTACTCTTGAGTAAAGATGGATAAATAGCCCAAACAGTATTTCGTACATACCAGACAGTAGCAGAAAACAAGCAACTGAACAATGGAACGTCTTGAAAAACATATTTAGAACCTGCCAATCTTTGAATGAAACTCTGTTCAACAGAGGGAATGATCTGGGCGTATTTTTCTGAAGTTGTTTTGTGCACAGTATAACTTTCCAAATATTTTTCCTTTCCTTTTCTCCCTTTTTCTTGTTAACTTTAAATCCCAAAAGAACTGAATTCAGATTACATAATTACATACCCTGTTTCAGGGTTCAAAAAAAAAATATAAGTCAGGGTCTTATTTTCAGGGAAACATGAGTAGTTACTATTAATGCATTAAAATATACCGGTAATTATTTTATAATGTGCACATCTGCCTTTCTAACTACAGGTAGTCCTCAAGTTACGACCGCAATTGAAGCAATCGAAGAAGCTTTTTCAGTTCTAACCTTGCCAGAACTGCCCTGATTTTGCCCTGGCTTGCCAGAACTGGAGAAGCTTCTCGGATGAGAAGTAAAACATTTTCAACAGGGGAAAAACCCCCCAAGTAAGTCCAGTTGCCTTTTAGAAAAAGCAGTTTTGGGACAACCATGACTTGGATGATTGGGAATCTCCATAGACATATGGAGACAACAATACTTGAAATTTCTCTTTCTCTCTCTCTCACTCCTCCCTTTCTCCTTACCATCGGTATTGCTCTCGTCTGCTGAATAGGATTCCTCTCTCTCTGCATCCTTATCTTCGTTGTCTTCACGAGATTTGAAGGACACTCCAATTCCCACTGTGGAAGAGTGTTCTCCTCCCGCCTGGGATCTCCCTGGGATTATTATCTGAGCGCTTTTCTCTTCTAGGGGCTTTCTTAGTAAAGATGGAGCAACGTCTTCCGCGTCTGTATCGCTGTCTTGAGCCGTGGATTTATCACGACCCATGGATGTCACTTCCGCATCAGTATCACTGTCCTTGTCTTGTCCAGGTGAAGGTTTTTCCAGAGATCCAATATCCGGATCCCCCAAACGGCTCACTCTACTTCCTTTGCTGGGCTCTGCACCGGAGATGTGTTGGCTCTTCATTGATTCCACATCTGGATTACCTGCCTCCTCTTCCCCATCTGTATCACTACCTAGAAGGAGCATGGGAAGGTTGTGTTGCATAGCATTTGACGAGATCTCCTTCTTGTCGAAGTCCCTAGGAGATTGGTCACCAACTGCATAACTCATCTCGAGTTCAACATTAGGATTTTTTGTCAACCCAACCACATCACCGTGTCTCTCACCGACACTATGACCTGCTGGTATAATCCTCTTGAGGGGAACATCTTTCATGTCTGTGCTGCTCTCCTTACCACTTGAAGAACAGGTCCTCTGAGGAGAAGTATCTTCTGAGTTCTCCAGCTGGGGTTTAATCGCTTCCTCCTTGGTATCATCACCATTACTGTGTCCACCAACTACACGGTTCTTGGTCCTACTTAGAGTCTTTCCCTTGGCAGATGAGTCTTCCACATCTGTGTCAACATCTTCACTGTCACTGTGTCCACCAACTACACGGTTCTTGGTCCTACTTAGAGTCTTTCCTTTGGCAGATGAATCTTCCACATCAGTGTCAACATCTTCACTGTCACTGTGTCCACCAACTACACGATTCTTGGTCCTACTTAGAGTCTTTCCCTTGACAGATGAATCTTCTACATCTGTGTCAACATCTTCATGGGCAGTGGGAGGCAGGGCATTCACACTGCTTTCTGGATTATCCAAATCTTCCTCCACATCTGTGTCCTCATCCTTTTTCCCGCCAAGTTGGACGTTGTCTACATTGTCTTCCAACTGTTTGCAGTCACCTTCTTTTGGGGGAACAGGCTCATGTTTTCCTGGACAAACAACGCTTGGATTTTCCACTTCTGCTTCCACATCGGTGTCATCCTCTTCTTTTTCCATAGAAGTAGAGGGGAGCTTTAATCTGAAGACAGCTGGGCTTTCCACGGTCTCCTCCGCATCCGTATCACTGCCCAGCTCCATTGAGGTTTGGGGACAACGGACAACTGGAGCCACCACTGAAGACTCATTCAGATCAGTGTCAGGGTCCACTTCTGGGCCCCTATCCCTTTTTTCCGGGTCTAATGATGCTGGCGCTTCAGAGATGCCACCCATTTGGTTTTCATCCTCTACATCTGTATCGCTGTCCAAACGAAAGCCTTCCACCAGGCCATGTTCTGCAGCTGTGGATTCTCCACGGTCTTCTCTGTTGGAGGAAGGACTACCACCATTCTCTGCGGGGCTCCGCTCAGCCTCCTGGCTCTCAAAGGAAAGGCGCAGAGCAGGGCAGAGTGGGCCATCAACCGAAGGGTCTCCAGTTTCATCATCACTTGAAAAACAAACAGAAAACAGAACAATTTAAGCTCACAGTAATTAACTGGAGTTGTCTACATTGCTATCTAGACTTATTCTAATTAGAAAAATACAGGTAGTCCTCAACTTATAGCAATAGCACTTAGACTTACATACCGCTTCATGGTGCTTTTACAGCCCTCTCTAAGCGGTTTACACAGTCAGCATGTTTCACCCAACAATCTTGGTCCTCATTTTACCCACCTCGGAAGGATGGAAGGCTGAGTCAATCTTGAGCAAGTCAGAATTGAACTGCTGGCAATGAGCAGAGTCAGCCTGCAATACTACATTCTAACCACTACGCCACCACGGCTCTTATAACTCTACAACTGGGACCAGAAAAATGTATCGATAAGCATTGAGATCATTAAAGCGAGGCATCACATGACCACTCTCAATTTTATGACTTTCGTTGCAGTCGTTAATATAATCACCACCGTCGTTAAGCAAACCCAACTTCGTTTCTCCCATTGACTTTGTTTGTTGGAAGCTGGCTGGAACGGTCACAAATCACAATCAATGACCACAGGAAGCTGCCGTTGTCATAAGTGTGAGCCAGTCGCCAAGCACCCAAATCATGATCACGTGACAGTGGGGGCGGTGCAACACTCATAACTTTGAGGATGCGTTGTACGTCACGTTTTTCAGTAACTTCAAACTGGTTTTAAATGAACGGTCATAAGTCAAGGACAACCTGTATTAATTGAGCTGTACTTCCAATCTGGTATCCATTTGATGGGGTGGACTACATACAATACCTGGTATCCCATATTTAAACCGTTAAACAAATATCCAAAATAGTTTTCTTATTTTTTTTAAAGAGTGTCTCATTTGTTTTTAGTAGGGACTAAACAGTGATGGCGAACCTTTTTGGCACCAAGTGCCAAAAAGGGAGCACTTCATGCACCCACAAACTCATCAGGGCCACAACCAGGAAGAGGAATTGCCCAGGGGCCATGCGCGCACCGGCTAAGATACTTCCAGTTTCCGGTGCACGCATGGGCACCAGCCAGCAAGTCTTCCGGTTACTCCGTGCATGTACATGCGCAGATCAGCTGGCCGGCACGCATGCTCACCCTGGAAAACGGAAGACCAACTCTTCCGGTTTCTGGCAGTGCCGCACGCACAAAGTCCAGCTGATCATTGCATGCACATGCGCGCCAGAAACCCAGAAGAGGAACGGGCGATGTCACACGTGCCAGGTGACATGGCTTCGCGTGCCACTTCGGACACACATGCCATAGGTTCGCCTGTTGTGGTCCGCCAGCAGCCTGAGGAGCTGGCAACGGAGTCAGACAGCGATGAGGCTGAGGTAGAACAGGGGCCAGTCCTGGAGGCTGGGGAAGGTCCGAATGAGGGCTCTGCGTTGGAGGCAGAGATGGGGCCATGGCCATCTGGGAGTGATGTGTGGACTCCGGAGCCTCCAGAGGCTGACAGTAGAGGCAGAGGAACAGGAGGAGCCTGTTCCTAGTGCACACATGAGAAGAGCTGCCAGAAGGCAAGAGCAGCTAAAGCAAAGAGGACGACTTGGGAGTAGGGCCAAGAGATGACTGGCCCCTCCCATAAGGCTTAAAAGACCAGCAACGGCTCTTGGGCTCTTTGTCGGAAAACGTTGATAGACTTTCAAGAACTTGTCTTGCTGCACTTAGTGTCTTCTGCACTGACTTAGTGTCAGTGTCTTCTGCTTTTGAACTTTAGCCAAGAGAAACCTTTGGCAGTTTGCCTAATTATACCACGGTTGGTGATTAGACTGAAGAATTTGTGTTAAGAAGAATTTGTTTTAATTTAGTTTGGACTACGCTGAGAATGAGTTAATTCTCAGCTGTTCTAATAAAAGTCTGTTTGTTTTGGAACTGTTGGCATCTAATACTACCTACTTGGGCCTGGGTCACAACGTTGTGATCACGGGACTAAGATATCAAGATCTCCACCTTCTGATGATTGAAAAGCAGATACTTTTTCTAAGATACCACTTGTTCCCTGCATGGACTATAAATATTTTATATATTTCATATGAAATACTTCTGCTTTTATACAACAGTCATAGCAACTATTGTCCCAAAGGTGCTTCTTTCCCCCTTTTTTTCAAGACGCAACTGGACTTTCTGGTTTTTCTTTGAAGACATTTCACCTCATCCAAGGTGTAGGTAATAGGTGTAAGTAAAGATTCCCGATTCTAGGGGGCAGTGCTGATCTGTTTCTTAGTCAAGGGAGCCAACTTTGTCCGAGGACACTTACATGATCATGACACAGAATGCTGTTATCTTCCTATCAAAATGGTACCTATTTATCTACTCGCATTGCCATGCTTTCGAATTGCTAGGTGGTCAGGAGAAGCTGGGGCAAGAACGAGACCTCACCCCATCAGCCATCGGTGCTCGGACCCCGGGCTGTCAGCTTTCCAGCTGACAAGCTCGGCACCTTTAATAGCCTTTGATCATCTTTAATTGTCTTTAATCACTGAACCGTTGCACTTCCCCAATACAATAAGCTTATCTGGCCATATTTCCTGTCTGACTACCTGGTCAGGTTGACACCATCTGGATGCACCAAGGATGCTCATAAGCCATGTGACTGGAGGGCAAAAGTTCCCATTTGCTGTTGCTACCTAGTAACTACCTTAAAGACCGGCTCCCTTTGGTACAGGAGGCTGGAAACAGCCATAAATAAACCACTGATAACTTAATCCTTCTTAAACTTTCCCAATCCTCTTTAAAGGCATTTAAATTGGTTGCCATCATCACAACTCCTACCAGCAAAGCCTACAACTAACTCAGCACTATAGATTCCAAATCTTCCCACATTTAGTTATCCATGGTTTTATTGACCTACAAGCAGTGGTGGGATTCAGCCAGTTCGCACCACTTCGGGAGAACCGAAGTGTTAACTTGCTGAGCAGTTTGACAAACTGGTTGTTGAAAGAAATCATTAGGGCAGAGAACTCGTTGTTAAATTACTTGAATCCCACCACTGCCTACAAGGCACCCGCGACCCACTGAGTAATCATTTACAAGGTATTTCCTTACCAGATTCTTCAAATGAGTGCCTTCCACAACGGCAGAGATTCTAACTTACAGGCAGTCCTTGACTTACGACAGTTCACAATTGAATCCCAAATCCCCACTGCTAAGCAAGACTGTTGTTAAGTGAGTTTTGACCCATTTTATGACCTTTCTTGCCACGGTTGTTAAGAGAATCACTATAGTTGTTAAGTTGGTCAACCAGTTGTTAAGTGTCCCAAAAGTGCTTTTTCAAAAGGCAACTGGACTTCCTGAAAAAGTGGAAAAGTGGATTTTGCCTCTTGAAAAAACCTTTGGGACAACCATGACCTGGATGACTGAGAATCTCCATAGACATTTAGTTGTTAAGTGATTTGTCAGAAGATTGCAGAAGCTGATCACATGACCCTGGGGCGCTGCAATCATGATAAATACAAACCAGTTCCAACTTGTTTCCCCTTCCAACTTGTTATTCTATGTTCTTTGTTCAAGTGTGTTGTGTGAACCCAACCAACTGCTATTTAGTCCCTAAATAATGGTTGTAACAAACCATAATTTAACCGAATGCATGACTCTTGCCTTACACTCCTTTTGAAAAATGCAAAAATATTCCAGGTTTTAACCCAGAGGAATTTGCTACATGATGACTTACCTTTCAGGCACCACAGTAGCTGAAGGAGAGGAGACACCAAAGGAAGCCAAACTCGCTTGTCCTTCTCCTGAGCCATTTTTGTTAGAGCAATCGGACTCTGTTGATAAAGAAAGATGGAAATAAGAAATATCAGCATTAAGGCATTTTCTATTTTTTTTTTCACTTTAACTGTGTTCAAAGCAGTGACTGTGGGGAAAAAATGCAGGAAAATGTTCCATGGGAAAATTTCATCCCACATCAATTGCCTTTCTATACATATTTCTTAAATTTATTGGGAAAACGCACTCTAAACAGCATCTTCTCTGGTTAAGAGATTAATTTGAATGAATGTATAAGGCTGCCCATCTCTCAAATATAAGACCTTGACTTATGACCGTAACTTGAGCTTGGCAATTACAGCCTTAAGTCGTGACCTTTGTAAAGCAGGACATCATGTGACTGGCCCTTTATTTTGCCATATGCTAAATAATGTGACTGACCCAATTTTACAAACTGTTTTGTAGCAGTTGTGGTGGCACAGTGGTTAGAGTGCAGTACTGCAGGCTACTTCTGCTGACTGCCGGCTGCTTACAATTTGGCAGTTTGAATCTCACCAGGCTCATGGTTGACTCAGCCTTCCATCCTTCCGAGGTGAGTAAAATGAGGACCCAGATTGTTGGGGGCGATATGCTTACTCTATAAAACCGCTTGGAGAGGGCTGGAAAGTACTGTGAAGCGGTATATAAGTCCAAGTGCTATTGCTAGTCACAAAGGAAACACTGTGGTCATAAAGCAAACCCATTTGTTCACTGTGAGGTGTTGTTTTGTTTTGTTTTTTGCTGGAAACAGAGGTAGCAATAGCACTTAGACTTATATAGCGCTTCATAGTTGTCAAGTTTCCGAAAGATACCCTAATTAATTCATGAGCCATGATCCAAACTTCAAAGGAAATATAGTCATTTATTAGGAGCAACATTCCGGCAATACTCGGATGCAGTTAGGACTGATCCTACGTAGATTTACGTTTCCCTATGACCCTGTCTCTCCCCTCCTCTCTGGCCATGTCATAGATCACATTCTACAATTAACCACTTTGGCTGGCTGTGAAAACTAACACCCTCCTTCTGATTGCAGTCAGAAAGAATGTATGGAATTCACTTCAGTTCTCCCTCCCTCCTGCTCATGGCAACTTGAAAGCTTTGCAAGTTGACAATAGTGCTTTATAGCCCTCTCTAAGCGGTTTACAGAGTCAGCCTATTGCCCCCCAACACTCTGGGTCCTCCTTTTACCCACCTCGGAAGGATGGAAGGCTGATTCGACCTTGAGCCTAGTGAGATTCGATCTGCCAAACCGCTGGCAGCCGGTGATCAGCCGAAGTAGCCTGCAGTACTGCACTCTAACCACTGAGCCACAGCGGCTCTGGTTGCGCCGCCGAGTAAATACCGCTTTTCAGCAATGTCATAAACATGACCATGTGACGTTGCTAATAGCCACAAATGTGGGTTGGTTGCTGAACACCCCAAATGTGGTCACGTGGCTTCGGGGGAGGGGGGGCAACCATTGTAACTTTGGAACCGGGTCATAAGTACCTTTTCGGGAATCCGTTGTAACTTCAAACTTTTGCTAAGTGACTGGTTATAAGTCAAGGACTACCTGTATGCCTTATATTTTCATTATTTTATATTTTAATCAATCACGAACGGGAGTGAAATAGAGAAGACACGAAGTCCTGGGACTTTGCCGTCCCTCCCAGGAAACCTTTCCAACTCAATTTTCAAATGTAATTCACAAATATTAGGAACTTCTTGTATTATTCTAAAGGACAGAATGACAACATGGAAGCCTGGATTCTCAGAAAGAGGATTTATGAGTCAATCATACAATCGGGTTTTGTTTTTGTTTGTTTTTTTGCTCTCCGAAGAATCAAAGTATACCTTCGCATTCAAAGACCTGGTTATTTTAGTTGAGGAATTGAATACAGGTAGTCCTCGACTTGCGACCACAATTGAGCCCCAAATTTCTGCTGCTAAGCGAGACAGTTGTTAAGTGGCTTTTGCCCATTTTATGACCTTTCTTGCCAGAGTTGTTAGTAACATGGACATTAAGTGAATCTGGCTTCCCCATTGCCTTTGCTTGTCAGGAGGTCACAAAAGGGGATCACATGGACACACGCACACCCCGGGACACTGCAACCATCATAAATATGAACCAATTGTCAAGCATCCAAATGTAAATTATGTGACCATGGGGATGCTGCAATGGTCATAAGTGTGGAGAAAGGTCACAGGTCACTGTTTTCAGTGTCGCCGTAACTTTGGCCAGTCATTAAACGAACAGTTGCGAGTCAAGGAATACCTATAGTACAGGTCCTGCAGTTGTGTTGTGGCCCGTCAGCAGCCTGTGCAGCTAGTAGCTGATTCCGACAGCGAGGAGGCTGGTGTGGTGCTGCTCCAGCAGCCTGTGCAGCTGGCACTCGAGTCAGACAATGAGGAGGCTGGAGAAGATGTGGTGCCAGAGGCGGGGATTCAGCCAGGGCCTCCAGAACCTCCAGAAGCTCCCATAAGTGAAGAGGAAGAAGAGGAGGGGCCTCTTCTCGCTGCATGGGCGCGCAAAGCTGCCAAAAGGCAGGAGTGGCGCCTCAGGAGGAGGTCTCCTCGAGAGTAAGGCTTGGGGCTAATTGGCCACTCCCTTAGCCTATTTAAGGAAGGATGATGACTGAGGCAATTTGCAGGGAACAACTTCGTTAACATTCCTTCGCATCTCGATCTTAGTTCTCTTATCTGTTTCCTGCAAATTGCTTCTGGGCATTCTGCCAACCATAGTAAGATTACAATTATTTATTCTTTGGATTCTTGTAGGCTGTTAATAAAATTAATTAACAGACTTTCTTTGTAAAAGACTGGTTTAATTTAGTAAACTAAGGTTTGTATAGACTGTGTGTGTGATGCGTTCTTTGGGGTCCGTAGCTGGGGCAGAACAAGTTGCCAGAGCAAAAGTCACAGTCTGAACACAGATTCCTTACCATCTTTTGATGTGTGGTGCAGGTAGCTTCCTGTCCCATTCATCACTTCCTCCCCTTCCTCTTCCTTGTCAGAATCCTGGACCAAAACTTGCCCAAAGCCTATTCTCCTGCCCGGCGCAGGCGTTTCCTCAATGGCCAGCGCACTGGCCTCCACTCTTCCCTGGGTCGGCGGCACCGCCATGGAGTCGTCGTGGGAGTCATAATCGGTATCCGGGACCAGGATGAAGTACTGGCATCCCACGTCCCCAAAGAGCAAGGTGTCCCCATCCTGGAGGCTGTACCGGACCTGCGGGACCAAGTTCATCCTCTGGCGCCGAGTCCGGTTCAAGCTGCCCTGATCATACAAAAGGTGGGGCCCGTGGGAGGAGGGCACCTCGATCACCGCGTGCGTTTTGGAAACAGAATTAGCAGGCAAGCAGACATGACAGCTTTCCAAGCGACCAATGGTGTTCTCGCCAGGGTAGATCCAGAAATCTAGAAAGAGAAAATATTATATGAAAAAAACCTTTCTTTTACTTCCAGGCAGACGTATCAAACAAAAAATTCAAGATGACAGCCACAACGATGTGACCAAAGGCTCACGCCTTTTAAAACTGCATCTCAATGAACGTAAACAGGGGGCAGGCTTTGATTTGATTCCCCTCCATGCCGATATCCCTACTTTCATGGTTGCCCCATTGGCGTCCTTCAGTCTCAAGAGACTATGGTATCGTGCTCTGGAAAGAGGTCCTAAAACAGCATCTGGTGTGACTAAAAAGGCCAATTCGAGAGTGGCAACCCCTTCCACATTGAGGGCAGATACATTCTGTCCCCTGCCCAACCCCCGGATGGTTCCGGGACTGCCTCTTTGCCTCAGCCTGCCGAACAAATGTCTCTTCGAATTGGAGAAGGCCATGCTGCGTCTTTAGCCTCCTAGCTGAACGATCGGAGGTCAAGGTTTCCCAGTTGTTAACGTCCATTCCTAGCACACACACACATGCACATACTATTTGAATAGGATATTCAAATAGAACAACAAATAGTTAAAGCAATCAGAATATAGTCATTAAAATTATAAATACATACATACACACACATGTGTGTGTGTGCATAGATAGATAGATAATTTCAATTTTAATTACTTTTTATATTCTTTTATGTTTGTTGTTCCATTTGAATATCCTATTCAAATATTATATTCAATACTATTTGAGTATACCACCCAGAGTCACTTTTTGGGGGAAAGGAGGGCTATATAAATGTGATTAATAAATACATATTCAAATTTTTCCCCCATCCCCAATTTAGATCCTGGTAATCTAACCAGGCTTTCATCAAGGTAGGTCAAAAGGTTTGTTCCACTGTTTAGTTATGAAATAAAAGAATGATTGTAAGGAATTCCATCCTTCCTTGAATTTTTAGACTTACTCCCATTTTTGTCATTCGGTACAAAAAACGTCACAAAAGGCCAGCCATGCAGAAATGAGAGCCAGCTTGATCTAAGTCATGGTGCTAAAATAGAATCTAGGGAACCATGAGTTTTAATCTTGATTTGGGCATAGAAGTCATTTGGGTGACTTTGGGCCAGTCACTCTCCTCCCTAATACAAAGGTGGGTAGGGCAAACCATTTTATTTTATTTTATTACATTTCTATACCGCCCTTCTCCCGAAGGACTCAGGGCGGTGTACAGCCATATTAAAACAAACCCATCACAAAAATTAAAAACCGTTAAAATAAATTAAAGCAATTTGGCCGTTATTAAAACCCTTAGCTAAAACCCGTTTAAAACCAATTAAAACCCATTAAAATTAATTTATTTCGTCAGGCCAGCTTGATTGAACAATAGAGTTTTCGGAGCACGACGGAAGGCGCGGAGGTCGGGGATCCTTCTTATATCCGGGGGCAGCTCATTCCATAGGGCAGGAGCCCCCACAGAGAAGGCTCTCCCCCTGGGGGTCACTAGCCGAAAATCTCACCAAGAAAACTGTAGGCATCTTGTCAGCTTAAAGCAGGGGTCAGCAACCTGCAGCTCTGGAGCCACATGTGGCTCTTTCAGCGCTCTACTGCGGCTCCCTGTCACTCAAAATATGCGTCACAACCGCCAATGTGCGACACCCACCAGCATACGATTTATTGAGCTTTTCAACCCCCGGTAGGCCAACCATGGATAAATCCAAGAAAAGAAAAGTTTCAGAAGAAAACAGAACGTTTAATTCAACTACATAAGCTAGTTTTGTGGCCACTCAAGAAATAGTCAGGCACAGGAAGCGTTTGTGGCTCCCGGTGTTGTTTTTTTCTGTGGGAAACGGGTCCAAATGGCTCTTTAACTGTTTAAGGTTGCAGACCCCTGGCTTAAAGAATGACAATGACCAACTGTCTGCAAGGAATATAAATCCTTCCATTCCCCCACCATCCAGTCAGAGCTGAAGAAGCTTCTTGGATGAGAAGCAAAATGTCTTCAAAGAAAAAACAAGAAAGTCCAGTTGCCTCTTGAAACAAAAAGCATCTCTGGGTTCCTCAGAATGTGATTATCCACTACTAGACAATCCATGAAAAGGATATATTTGCCATATATGGAAACAACTCTGAAACTAGTACACTCCCAGGCACCACAACAATCTATCTAAAGCAGTGGTTCCCAACCTTTTTTTGGCCATGCCCCACCTAAGCATCTCTAAAATCCTGATTGCCGCCCCCCCACCCACCCACCCCCAGGACATATAATTTTTACTATTCAAAAAGTGAACTCCTACTCACGCAGAGGAAGCCTAAAAGGCCATTAACTTGTTTTAAACAATGTTCCAAAGAACATGGCATCCATGAAAGAGAAAAATAAAAGAACGAAAGACAGTAGAAGTACTGAGGAACTTAAAAAATAATAGTATGAAGGGATATGAAAAAACAGCAAATAAAGTTTAAAAACATACAGAACTGAAATGCATAAATATAAAATAATTTTAATGAAAGCTTTTTGATCATATTAACTACTATATATATTAAAATAAATGTACCTAACAAATTCAAAATACAATTTGAGCTCACCTCAAGATCATATTTACAACACAATCCTATGCATGTAAGTACCATTGTCTTCAATGGGGCTTAATCTCAGGAAAATGTTGTAGGATTTAGTCTTCTTAGTGAGATCCTTGTGCTTAGTGGGAACATATCTGATTGGCTGGTGTGGGAACCACTGATCTAAAGGATCCCAAACAAACTCAAAAAATCCAACAGCCCAAGTACATGTTATTTCTGTGAGGGCAGATAGATAGATAAACACATCCATGAAAACTGGGAGTTGGAACACATGAAAATTCCTTCTTTTCAAACATACTAATACATTTTCATCAAGGAAGCTGTTGATATCTTACACCAAACCACATCAAAAATCCCAGAGACTTCTTAAGAGTTAAAGCACTTTGAGGAATCAACCATTTAAGAGAGACACTGAAATATGTAAATGTAAACTCTCTCTATAAACCCTTTTAAGAAAGGAAGCAAGATCAAGGCCAGGAGCAAAGATCCCTAACCCCTCATTAGTTCCAATTATCACATGCCAATTAGCCAACAGCCAGATAAGCAAGAACAGGCTCCAGAGAAACAAGACCAATCAAAGAAGAAACACCTTCCCGATAAAAGAGAATATTTGTAGCTCCAGGCTGAAATGAGGGAACTTTGGTGCTCTCTGAGTTTGTTTGTTTTCTTGCAGAGATTTCATTACCCAAACTAGGTAACATCATCAAGCACTGTCCCAAACAATGTCCCATCCCAAAAACAGTCAAGGAAGAAATAATACCCTATCAAAGCTGGTAGGGCAAGGTATCACATGTCCACATGTAAACCGCCTATAACTACTCCCCCACACCTTGATGAAGTTAGGCAGCCTGGTAATGAAATGTCTGCAGGAAGTGAAGCAAGCACAGAGAACCCATTATTCATCCAAAATAGCAACAAGCAAACATGTTGTACACCCACATTGTAACACAGCTTATTACAGACCGTGGCTTAGGAAGGGAGCACACACTCTATAGCAAAAAACACTTTCATATCAGTAAATACGAATCTGAAATGATCAATCAATCAGGATGGTGTTGGAAGGGAAGTTGGAGGTCATTTGATCCAACCCCCTACTCAAGCTATAGGTAAAGGGAAAAATTCCCCTCACACATATGTGCTAGTCGTTCCCGACTCTAGGGGGCGGTGCTCATCTCCGTTTCAAAGCCGAAGAGCCAGCGCTGTCCAAAGACGTCTCCGTGGTCATGTGGCCGGCATGACTAAATGCCAAAGGCGCACAGAACGCTGTTACCTTCCCACCAAAGGTGGTCCCTATTTTTCTACTTGCATTTTTTACGTGCTTTCGAACTGCTAGGTTGGCAGAAGCTGGGACACGTAACAGGATCTCACTCCGTTACACAGCACTAGGGAGTCGAACCGCTGAACTGCCGACCTTTTGACTGACAAGCTCAGTGTCTTAGCCACTGAGCCACCGCACCCCTCAAGCTAGACCTATATACCATTTTAGACAAATGGCTGTCCAGTCTTTTCTTCAAACCTTCCAGTAGTTGGAGCATTCACAATTTCGCAAACAGTTCCACCGGTTAATTGTCCTCACTGTTAGGAAGTTTCTCCTTAATTCCAGGTTGCTTTCTCTCCTTGATTAGTTTCCATCCAGTGTTTCTTCTCTTGCCTTCTGGAGCGCTTTGGAGAACCTGGGACTTGCCATTCCACAAACCTGGAAGAAGCCACCAGGTCACCTGTGGCTCCAAGGAAGAAGACGCAGCTCCAGGAAGGCCCTTACCTTTCTCAGGGCCGTACTTGCTGCTCAGCAGATGCAGGCGCCCCACCGCCTTAGGGGTCTCCCTTGCAGCAGCATCAGACCCATCCGTGGAGTCGCCTTCTCCATCCCACTCCAGCAACTGAGTTTGTTCCATCCTGCAATTGAAGAAGAAAAAAAAGAACTCAATTCTCCTGCAGAGTGGACACCTGCCCCGCTCCGCTTTATTAGATCCAAATCTAATTCCCTTCCTTGCATTACTCCTTTTCCCCAATTTTGGCGATGCCCCCAATTCCTGGTGTCCCCCCACCCCCCACCCCCACCTTATATGGCAGCCAACTTTTTTTTTTTTTAAAGAGGCATGGCCCCTTTAAGCCTTAAAGCCGCAGTAGCCCTTTCCAGATTAAACTCCGGGAAAGCAGAGGAAGGGGTCCGCAGGTAAAATTAGAAAAGCCGCTGGGGGGAAATTACCTTCCTTGCACCCCTCCTCCGGGCACCCTAAAAAGCGAAGGAGGACGATCGCTCTTTCTGGGCGCGCCACCCCACTCTCGGCAGGAAGAGTTTTCATTCGTCTACTCCGCTGCCGTTTAAAAGCCTTCCTTCTCTTGATTGGACCATTCGAGTCCTGGGAAGACGGGAGAGTAAACGGTCCCCGCTTGTCCCAGAACCAATGAAAGACCCAGGGGAAAAAGACCATAGAAAAAGGAAGCGCCAGGCTAGAGAGTATTGTCACGCAAACCCCCCTTTGGAGGACAACCATAGAGTTGCCTTTCAAGTCTGGCCTCCCAAGTTTTCTACCATCTGTTTTTGTCTCCGCATAGCGGAAGTCAATGCCGTTCATAGGAAATAATATTGATTAATGTTGCGCGAAATGCAGCGATCTAATGGCAAAAGGCTTCGACTGCCACGCTTAAAGTAAAATTGCCAGATTTTAAAATTGCTGCAAAATCCGAACGATCGCTGGGTGGCGGCAGAGATGCTAGATGTTCCCGGATTTTTTTCCAGCCCACAAGCAGAAGCCGTACTTTTGCAATTTGCATGCAAAAATTCATTTAATTTTCTAATCAAATCCTTTTGAGAGGGGAGATCCGAGACCTCCTTAAATGAAATAATGGAGACTTTGCATTTCCCCCCCTAATTTTGTCCACCCGTTTATGTTTCCCCTGAATATGCTGCTTGCAGTTCAGTTTAAATTTATAATAAGATTAGCTAAAGCTTGTTTCTGAAGATCCCCATTTGCCTCATCATCATAATAATCCTCATTAAGTTGACAGGGTTAGAGATGAAGTTGTATATATGCACATAATTACAGGAATGCATTTTTTCCATTTGCAGTGATTCCTTCCACCCATCCTTCCTTCCGCCACCTACCTGAAATTAATGTCTCTCGGCAGCTAACAATATTAAAAGAAAAAGAAAATATAAAGTATATATAAAAAAAACTATAGACAAAAAACAGCAGCAGAGGTAAAAACAATTCAACAATCATAAATTAACATAACCAATATATTGACTCAGCCACAGAGCCTAAGCCCTAGGTCGGGTTATCTCTTGAACTTCTATCGTAAACTTTAAAGAATTTAGAAATTTACATACAATACAATCCACTTTTACTTGTTTCCAGTTGTGTGGAAGACAAAGCAATTGTGGGAAGAAATTTCCCTGGTTCCTTCCCAGCTGGGAAACCGTCAGGGATGCTGAGAAGAAATAGGCATGGAAGCAGCTGCCAGAAAAGGGATCCTTTTAATTCAGGAAGGCAAGAAGGGTAGTAACAAGCTCAAGAGTTCCTAGGTTGCAAGTAGAATGACCTGATAAGTATGGATTTTTATATCCATCTTCCCTTTGAAGTTGGTTGTGATTTGATGAGATTTTGTATGTGCCTTTAGTTAAGGTGATTGCCTGGATCCTGTCTTCCTGCCTTAATGGGTTAATCCTGTTCCCTGGAGTTTTGTCTTTCCTATCTTGGGGGTTAATTCTTCCAGGAAAGAGGAAAAGAGGAGTTCCAGGTGAGCCTGATTCCCCTTATCTTAAAGGCTCTACTTAAGTATTTCTATTGTCAGCTCTGTTAACAGGGCTGCTCTGTATTTTTTCTTTCAGCTGGTGCTTTTTGGTTTTCTTAAAGGGGGAAGGGCTGGCTTGAGTCTCTTGGCACTGTTTTCTGAGGTTTCTGGTTCTATGAGGTCCCTGGCACTGTCCCCTGGGGTACACTTCCCACACCATATACAGTACAGGTAATCCTCGACTTACAACAGTTTGTTTAGTGACCGTTCAAAGTTACAACAGCACTGAAAAAAGTGATTTATGACTGTTTCTCACTGTTACGACTGTTGCAACATCCCTAATGTCACATGATCAAAATTCAGATGCCTGGTTCGTATTTATGACAGTTGCAGCATCCTGGGGTCATCCTGATGCCCTTTAGACCAGGGGTCTCCAACCTTGACAAGAATTCTGGGAGTTGAAGTCCACAAGTCTTAAAGTTGCCAAGGTTGGAGACCCCTGCTTTAGACAACCTTCTGACAAGCAAAGTCAATGGAGAAGCCAGATAGACTCGACAACTGTTTTATTAACTTAATAAGAGCAGTTATTCGCTTAACAACTGTGGCAAGAAAAGTTGTAAAAGGGGGCAAAACTCGTTTAACAACTGTCTCACTTAGCAAGAGAAACGTGGGGCTCAATTGTGGCCGTAAATCGAGGATTACCTGCACTAATCCTTTCAGATGTTGTGTGAGAGCCAGTTTGGAGTTAGGGTTAAGGCCTCAAGCTAGAAACTGGGAGACCATGAGTTCTACTCCCACCTTGGGCACAACACCAGCTGGGTGACCTTGGGTCAGTCACTTTGCTCTAGGAAGGAGACAGTTGTAAACCACTTCTGATAAACTTTGTCAAGAAGTTGTCAAGTGAGGTAGTTTAGAGAACAAATCTCTAAGCCTTGGTGGCGCAGCAGACTAAAGCACTGTTAAGTAACACCAGCTGCCTGCAATTACTGCAAGTTCAAATCTCACCAGGCTCAAGGTTGATTCAGCCTTCCATCCTTTCGAGGTAGGTAAAATGAGGACCCGGTTTGTGGGGGCAATAAGCTGACTTTGTATAAAATAGAACACCGCTTGGGGGGGCCAAAAAGCCCTACTAAGCAGGTATATACAAAAGTAGAAAGGCTATTGCTTAACGCATTGTAAGCCACCCTGAGTCTTCGGAAAAGGCCGGCATATAAATCGAACCAATAAATACAATAAATAAATAAATAAAATCAACTACAGTCCAGATTACAGTATTCCCCCCACTTTCTGGGAGTTTGACTATGAAGTCCTTAGCTATTTCCTCCCAAAGCCAGGTTGGCTCAGCCACTTGCTGTAACATTCCCAGGGTCTTCCCTGATCTCTGATTCATGGAAGCACACAGAGCGCAACTTTTTACATAGCTCTCTCTGACCTTTTTCATGCCTGGCCACCAGAATTGCCGTTTGGTCAGGTGTAAGGTTTTTAGGAGCCCAAAGTGGCCAGCTTGCTTAGCATTGTGGCTTTGTTGCAAGACTTGAATCCATAGAGTTTCAGGAATATAGAGTTTGTCCCCCTTCCAGGCCATCCCCCCTCCTTCAAAGGCACCACCCCCAAGGATCAAATATAGTTGAACAGAAGGGAAAAAATGGTGTTTGATATGAGAATAAACCATTTGTGTTTTCTAGAATAATCTAACTTTGGTTAAATTTACAGAACACAGGCCATAAGCCAAACCAACTATATAAAGGCTTAGCATATTCTTGAGTATCCAGCTATTATTTTGAATTCCTGCTCAAAATGAGGTATTTTGAAGAATTGGAGCCATGATGGAAAATATGTAACATCCATCCTGTTTTGATTTAGAAAACCACTGGTGTTATAAACCGTAGTGTAATGTCAAATGTGAACCCCACCCTTTTGAATCTGAGAGGGAAGCAACAGTATGCCTTTTGGCATATAAATATGCCTTTTTTTTAAATAAAAAGAAAAAGAATTCCATAAGAATTTATCTCACATATATCAATCAAAAATGGTTTTATTTTCTATTCAGGTTAGACATGCTACATTTCATTTGTTGCAGTCGTAAGTGTGAAAAATGGTCATAAATCACTTGTTTCAGTGGCATTGTACTTTTGAAAGGTCACTAAATGAAAAGTTGTAAGACTACCTGTATTTTTCTAATCCTTACATAGAAAAGGGATAACCAACTAATCTTGTATTCTCAGAAAATGTTTTGAAATAATATAAATGCATAATCTGTTCTGCGGTTTTTCTGTTAAATTTCCAAACCGCTGACATACACTGTAAATAAAAGAATGGGAATAAATCTAATAATAAGTCTTCCAGAATAAAATCAATATGGATAAAATAATGCCTGTCCTGAATGGAGCACATGACTACATTCCTTTGAACTTCTATTGCTTTTTGTTCACCCGAAGGGTTAACTAAAATTGTCAATTTCTCCTTTAAAAAAACATAGTGGTGTTCAATAATCGGAAGGAAAGGGAAGGGGAAGGGAAGACAGAATGGTTATGCATATGCAGCCTTGGGTTTTCAGCATTGGCGCCAATCTCGGGTGTCTCAGGGTTCTACACTCTCCGCTTTAAATCCATATGGAGTAAGATCATGAGTTGGTACTGGTTAAAGTATCATCAGTATTATCAGTTCTCAAGGTAGACCGAGTCAAGAAAAGAATTCCAGCAATTCTATGTTATTGTTATAGGACAGTGATGGCTAACCTTTTGCCATCAGGGGTGGGTTCTAAATTTTTTTACTTCTGTGGGCATGGCTTATTTTGTGGGGGTGGCTTGGTAGGGGGGGGAAATGTGACTGGGTTGGCATGGCCAACCTTTTTTTTTTACTTTTAAAAGCATTTTTTCTACAAGCTTAAGAAGTTGCAGAAAAAAAATGCTTTTAGAAGCCTCTGACGATCGCAGTTGAACCGCGCGATCATCAGAGGCTTTTTTTTTTACTTTTAAAAGCATTTTTTTGGCCGAAGAGGTGGTAGAAAAAATGCTTTTAAAAGTAAAAAAAAAAAAAAAACCTCTGATGAGGTGGGCGGGGTAAGCGAGCAGCGACTGGGCTGGGGACCAGTTCGGGGGCGTGGCCAGCCAATGTTATTACAGGTTCTCCAAACTACTAGAAATTTTTACTACCGGTTCTTGCGAACTGGTGCAAACCAGGAGCAACCCACCACTGGCCCACACCCATAATTCTATGCGCGGCTCCCCCCACTCCTGGCATGTGATGGCCCGGTAGGCCCGTTTTTCTCTCTCACCAGACTCCAGAGCCTTTCTAGGAGTCTGGGGAGGGTGAAAATGGCCTTCTCCATCCCCCTGGAGGCCCTCCGGAGGACAAAAATGCCATCACGGTTATAGGATATATTAGTACTATAGGGACACAGTGGTTTAGAGGCTAAGATGCTGAATTTGTCAATCGAAAGGTCGTCAGTTCAGTGGTTCAAATCCCTAGTGTTGTGTAATGGGGTGAGCTCCCGTTTCTTGTCCCAGCTTCTGCCAACCTAGCAGTTCGAAAGCACATAAAAAATGCAAGTAGAAAAATAGGGACCACCTTTGGTG